GCTGGCTTCACAGGTCAATGGAGAGGCTTCCCTTGTTGCTGCTTGCAAACACCTGATGCCAACTTGGTACAGGTTCATTATTCTGCTTGTGAATACCTGATGCCAACTTGGTACAGGCTCATCATTCTGCTTGTGAACACCTGATGCCAACTTGGTACAGGTTCATTATTCTGCTTGTGAACACCTGATGCCAATTTGGTACAGGCTCATCATTCTGCTTGTGAATACCTGATGCCAACTTGGTACAGGCTCATCATTCTGCTTGTGAACACCTGATGCCAACTTGGTACAGGTTCATTATTCTGCTTGTGAATACCTGATGCCAACTTGGTACAGGCTCATCATTCTGCTTGTGAACACCTGATGCCAACTTTGTACAGGCTCATCATTCTGCTTGTGAACACCTGATGCCAACTTGGTACAGGCTCATCATTCTGCTTGTGAACACCTGATGCCAACTTGGTACAGGCTCATCATTCTGCTTGTGAACACCTGATGCCAACTTGGTACAGGCTCATCATTCTGCTTGTGAACACCTGACGCCAACTTGGTACAGGCTCATCATTCTGCTTGTGAACACCTGATGCCAACTTGGTACAGGCTCATCATTGCACTTTGTTCTGTGCTCTAGTTTTCTTGAATTTAAACTGTTTAGGCTGCATTTTGTCATGTTTGAAAATGCCTGAGACTTTTTTTCAGTTTTAATTCTTCTGTTCCAGGTATCTAGAATGACCAAGTAGAGATCCATAAAGGTGTATTCATTCCAAAAGCTCTGGTACCACAGCTGGATTTAAAACAAAGCAAAACAAAAACCCAGCTAATACCAATTATAAAAATGAGGGGATTAATGCCGGATATGGTTCAGTGCATTCGTAAACGTTCCCGACTGTATCACATCTGGGCTCCTGCTTATCTCTGTTCCTACACTCGCAGTGGCCTGTGTGCAGGGTCTAGACCACTTGCCACTCCACGTTTTAATAAACCTTCTTGGTTGCTTTTAAAACAAATAAATATTATTCACATAACACTATGAATAATAATAAGCACCCATGTTTTCAGCAGCTTACAGCTGTCTTATTTGTTTCATATTTTTTAAGAAGTTCAAACTGCAATTACAATCAGTCCTTTGTCCAGTCCCATTGCGTGAACTTCTTCCCTCACTAGCTGCAGCTTCTGGGAAAGCGGCACCCAGCCCGTCTGCCTTTGAGTTTTACCCAGGGAGGTGTGCGGGCCGCCTTGTGAACCTCCCTCAGGCAGAGACGGGCATGGGTCCGCAGTGCACAGCGGCTGCTGCTGCTGCTCCCACTCCCGTGCTTCTCAGACCCTACCTAAGGAGTTACTGGATTGTCACAGGTCACATTCCTTAGATTTTGGCTTTGCTTATGATACCAAAAGCGACGGTATCGGTTGCTGAAGGTATCTGAAATACCAGAGACAATCCTTGAGGTAGTATTAACTAGAACTAGCGTTCATTTTCTTGCATAGATCCCTGGTCAAGTTCAGGTGTGTGATGATGATCTTAACTGGAAACAGTGAGAATATTCTACTTGAACTATTCTCAGTGTACTTATTGTCCATTACAAATACGAAATTTAGTAGTAAAGGGATTTGAGTCATGAGATTGTCTGCCTAGGGCTTTCTGTGTGCTCTGTAAAGTACTGGTCAGGGTGAAATGTGTCACTAACTAAAACAGTAGTCATATAAATTTTCACTTTAGAAACATGTTGACATTTACTGCTGAAACTACTTAAAAAGTCGAGGGACGCCACCTGGCCATTCGCCCTGATGACCTCTGTGAAGGAGAGCGCACACCCCTGGGGGGCTTGGCTCCTGAGTCTGTGCCTCTTTGTTCTGATGACTTAGGATTGTTTAGGCTGTCTTGCTTGACTTACGAGAGGGAAATGTAATGCTCAGGCTAGCATAGATTTCGATTTGTTTTGGTTCTGGGAATATGTTTTTAAATAATTTAAATTTTCTTCTTTATCTTCTATGTATTTATTTATTTATTTTTTAAAAACAAGGTCTTGCTCTGTTGTCCTGGCTGGAGTGCAGTGGCACAGTCAGCTCTCTGCAGCTTCAGACTCCTGGGCACAAGTGATCCTCCTCCATCAGCCTCCCAGGCAGCTGAGACTGCAGGTGTAGAAACCACTACCCCTGACTAATTAAAAAAATTTTTTTGTACAGATGGGGTCTCAAACTTCTGGCTTCAAGTGATCCTCACACCTTAGTCTCCCAAAGTGCTAGGACTATAGGCATGAGCCATGGAATATTTTTTTAATTGTGATAAAATATATACATAGTGTAATATTTATCATGTTAACCATTCATAAGTGTACAGTTCAGTGGTATTAAATGTGTTCACAGTGTTGAATAACCATCACCACTATCTGTGCCCCAAACTTTGTGCCCAATAAAGTTACCTTCTCCCCTCCCCAACTCCAGGCAGACACCATGCTACTTTCTATCTCTGTGCATTCAGGGACCTTGTATGAGTGGAATCATACGGTATTTGTCCATCTGCATCTGACTTATTTCACACTACCCATAATGTTTTCAGTGTCCATCCATGTTATTGCATGTGTCAGAATTTCATTCCTTTTTATGGCAGAAATGAATTTTTTGAAGTAGGAGATAATACATTTCTAACGTACTTTTTTCATTTATGTTGTTTTTAGTCATTGAATGTACCTTTTAAAGTTTTACTCATAAAAAATGTATTCCTGAAAAGCTATTTGGAAATTGAATTATTTATATGCATTGAGTAAACTTACCTAGTCAAAAGAAGCTTTTATAATTTTTTCTAAAGTAAATAATCACAAACCGAGTGAGGGTGGATAGTTATTGTTTGCTTAACATTTGATAAAACTTGTTTAATCATTTACCTGATAAATGTATGACTGACTTGATAATCTTAACCTATTTTAGCATTTTTGTAACTTAGAAATATCTGTGGGGTTCTTGCATGTGTCTTTAAATGTACTTAACTGGTTAACTGTGTTTATTTAGAATAAGATGGAATCTTGTGTGTGTTTCTAATAAACGCTAATCAAAGATGGAGTTTCAGGAACAAGTTACTGGGAGAGAAACATTAGCAGCCTTGTTTTGCTAATAAGATGGACCATGTTTAAAGGTCATTTGCCAAAGTTCGAGATATATTCCTCCCCTTTTGATGCAAATTCCCAAAATTTTTTGTCAATTTTTTTATTGTCGATAAGGGGAAACTATCTTCTTGCTAGTTTTTATGTCGATAAGGGGAAACTATCTTCTTGCTAGTTTGACTGAGTCTGAAATACCTGAAAAACATCTGTATTTGTTGTTACACATCTAGATCTGCAACAGGGGAGGGGACCTGCAAGATGAGGCTTTGCTGACCAGCAGTGCGTGCCCAGGGAGCGAATCCTCCCCTGCAGGTGTGTCCTGGAAGGTTCCACAAGCACAGAGGCTGCTGTGCAGCACACGGGCCCCTAAGACCTCAGCAATTAACTAGTGACTCGGTTGCACTCTGATGAGGGCTCTGGAAGGCATCGGAGACTCCCTTGGACTCGGGACCCCTGAGCTCAGATGTGAATGGTGGTGGCCCGGCAGGGGTGGGGGGTGGTGGTTAGGGGCAGATGGGAGAACATGGGAGGGACAGGTCCAGAAGCTACATGAAGCCTGGAAAGCAATGGGGGAGTAAAATGAGGGTTTTGGTCCTAACTAAGGGCAGTGAGGGTTCAAAATAGAAGAATCAGATTTGTGTTTCAAATAAAAATTGCTCTGGCTGCAGTGCACAGAGGTGGACTGGAGTCAGTTTCAGGCAAGGTGTTGCTCACCTGGAAAGTGTACTTTTAGTTTTCCATGGAGCCTGGTGTGTTGATGGTTGTGTTGCAGAGATGCTGCCTGTTGTGCACTTGCCTGTGAGCCAGACTGCCAAGGCTCACGCAGTTCTTACTTCCTAAGACAATGTCAAAGCATAGAATTATGTGTTAATGGCTTAGTTGTAATTTAGGTCATTTGATGTGTTTTAGACATAGGTTAATATATTAAGCCAGACAGCCTTTTAGATTAAGACATTTTCATTTTTCAGCATAGGGTGGGAGAAACAGCATGGAATATTCTGAATAAATGAGATTTCCCTTGAAAAGAGTGGTTAAATCTTTGCTGGGCTTTAATGGCAGAGGTTAAATGTGGCTTCCTAAATTTTGAAATCTACTGAAATTAGTTAGACAGGACTTCTGGTTATGCAATGATGTAAACACTAATTTTCCAAATAAAACACAAAGATTCACCATCTTCCTCTGCTGCAATGGTCTCCTTAGGTACATGCTTGCAGGAAGTACAGCAGCTGTCTTGTATAGCAAGGTGACTGTCAGGGGTGATACGTTCTTGGAAAATGCAAAGGGAATGGATATCAAGTGCTTTCACTGCAAAAATGAGTTAGTTAATTAGCTAGAGTTAACCATTCCACGATGTGTGTATACTTCCAGACATCATGTTACATATGTTATAACATACAATGTTATCTGTCTCTTTTTTTAAAAAAAAAAGTACAGTAGCCAAAAAGAAAACAGAGTCCCTTTAGGCTTATAAATAGAAAAATGAATTTAAAATAGTATCTTGTTAAAAACAAATTTATAGCTGATTTTTGTTATTAAAAACTTTGAAATAATTTGGTCTACTTTTAGAATATACTTGAGAAAGTTTATAAGTTGTAAGGCTCTTTAATGACTTGTTCTGTTCTTTTTTTGTGGTGTACTTGTTTATAATGGCTTTACTGAGACATAATTGATAAGAGCATAAAGTTCACCATTCTGAAGGAAGCAGTTGGTTTTTTTTTTTTGTATGTTCACACGGTTGTGCAACCATCAGCACTATCCAATTATAGAACATTTTCGTCACCCCCTAGAGAAACCCATTAGCAGTCACTCCCCATTTCCTCCTCACTCCACTCCCTGGCAACCACTGATTTACTTTGTTTCTGTGGATTTGCCTATTCTTGACATTTCATATAAATGGAGCCACGTAATATGTGGCCTTTTATGTCTGACTGCTTCCACCAAGCATGATGTGTTCAAGGTTCATCATGTTGTACTATGGATGGGTACTTCGTTCCTTTCTTGGATGAGTAACATTCCATTGTGGGGATGTGTACCACGCTTGTTTTGTTTATCCCTTTCCTTCTTTCCTTTCTTTCCCTCCTTCTCTCCCAAAAAAAAGAAGATTCTTTTACAAGTTTCTGTTGCATCACTGTTTTGTTGACCATGTAAATATTGTTTGTTGCTGAATTATGTTTCTTTTTCATACACGTTTTCATTTTTCCTAGAGCTGGATTGCCTGATTGTCTTTAGTACTTTTTTTTCTTAAAAGCAAACCTTCGACAGATCCGTCAAACACAGGCACATCGATGGTCTCCCAGCTCCTTGCAGCTGCAGGCTCCTGCGTGGATGCCACTCTCAGGGCCTGGGGCTGCCTGGCTTCTGTCCCAGGTCCATCTTCACCGTTTTTTGGAAGTCAGATCCCTGATGTTCCATTCTCTTGGTTTTTCCCTTCATTTTGCCAAATAGCATCTTCCAGTGGTTTCCTCAGAGTTTGTTTGTTTGTTTTGGCTCTGTGCATGTTTAAGAACATTGTTACTCCTCCCTCAAACTTGATTGGATATTTGGGTATAGAACTCCAAGTTAATTTTTTCTCAGAATTTTGAGAGTGGTTGATATCCTATCCATCATTTTTCCTGCAACCTTTGTGATGCCATCTGATTCCCTTCCTTTTGTATGTGACCCGCTCATTTTCTCTGGAAATTTTTGGAATCTCCTTTTTAACCCTTTGTGGTTAGGTTTCCTGGGCCGGCTCGCTGGTTACGCTCGGCAGGCGTGGGCCTTCCAGCCTGGGCACCCGTGCGGCTCCGCCCTGGGGAAGCTCCTCTTAGCTCTGGGGTCCTTGTTCCTCCCTTTGCTCAGTTCTTTCCCAGCTTGTCAGCTGGTGACGAGCCACCAGAGCCCATCTCATCCTTCCTCCTGCTGTCTGTTCTAGTTCGCTTCCTTTTGGAAGAGGTATTGAAGGTTTTACTGTTGTTGTTGTTGTTACTGTTTGAATTTCAGATTGAGCTTCTCTTTCTTTGTCCTTCCTTGTAGCATACCTGTTGGATGGCCTGCGAGGGGGTAGACCCATGGGAGCCTGTGTCCTGCCCCTTCACCCCCGGGGCTTGCCACTGTGGCACCTGTCCCCTCTGCATCAGGAGGAATGACAGTAGCCCTGCGTCCTGGGGCTGTTGGGAAGCTTAACTAGGTTAGTACAGGGATCAGGCACCTGGCTCCTAAGCCATCCCAACTCAACATGGGAATGTCATGACTCGTTAGGTCTCAGCTCCCTGAGGATATTAATTTTCATTTCTCTGACACTGTTGACATGCTGTCTTTACTCAGGTTCCTCCTTTGTTCTGGTGACTTCTCTGTGAGCAGAGGGCTTTCCAGCAGGAGGGCTTCACTGTGGTTGGTCCTGTCTTTAAGGACCCCAGATGTTTGAATATGGAGGTCCTTCCTCTCAGGCTGTGGCATTTCAGAGAGGAATGCTGGGGGTGGTGGGCACGCTGCACTCTGGGCCAGAGTTTGGGGAGTGAAAAATGGGAGTGGCTGTTTGCTGCCACCTCACAGGACAGCACGGACCTCGTCCCTGTGCCGGCCCCTTGCTGCCTTCACCAAAGACACACCTCACACAGGTGCTTTTTCAGTTTCCTTCTGGCACCTGGGGGCGTGGGAAGGAAAGGAGATGAGTCCCGGAGATCACTGGGAAGTCTGAGGGGACTGTTGACGGTGCTCTAGCCTGTAGCTCGGGCTGTCTGCATCAGCCAGACGACCCTTTGTGGCACAGAGCCTCAGTGAGTGGTGTAGCCATCACAGTGGACCCGCTGGCTGAGAGAGACCTGGTGCCACCTGGCCACACCTGGCTGTGCTGTGGGTGGGGATCCTCCTGCCCAGGCAGAAAGGTGGAGGCAGAATTGAGTCCTGGAGTTCCTGGTCGTTTCAAAGTACTCGGCTTGGTACCTCTGTGCCAGATTTGTGCTTTTACGGTCAGTCTGGATCTTATGGTGATGGCCATCAGACTCAGTTGACATTGAGAATCTAAATTTTATTGGTTTTGTAATCTTGTTGGCATTTAGTTTGTACTTTTATTTTGGTTTTACAGCTTGTCTGAGCTCTACAGAGTATATTTCCAATTTTAGGTTCATACATATTTACGTAGCTTAATGAAAATTATTTCTTAGCACTGGCAGTTTTGGGAGTTTCTGTTTTAAAAGATTCGGTTCATTTTAATTAAGTTTGAAAACCACTGACAGAGCTAGAATGCCATTAATTATATAATATTGTACACTCTCTGGGTATAAATGACATCGATTTTGTCTCTTTTAATCCAATACAGAATATTTTAGTTTCATTTAAGCCAATTAGGTTATTTTGAGTAATATAAGAGTGACATTTCTAATAAGAAGCAGCCTAATCCTTTTCCCAAGTCTAACGATTTTTTAAAGGAAAGAAATGCCAGGCGGGGGTGCAGATGGAGCTTGCGAACAGCGCCAGGAGAGCTGGTTCTGCACATGCCGATGGAGTCATTTATTAACGACTGTGTGGTTAAAACATCTGTGCAGGCCTTTAGGAATTGCATTCTAGTATGGCCACTGTTGGAGGGAGTTCTTCAAGGAGTTTCAATTTTGGGGTCCATTTGGTAGACAAATTGTTTACAATAGCCATCTAGCAGTTTTTGTCTTTAGAAACTTCCCACTTTAATGATACTGTGGGCCTTGGGTGTGCGCCATAGTCACTCTGCGTGGTGCCCTTCGAGTTGGTGCCCACAGGGGCAGGGGCGGGAGGGGGTTGTAGTGATCCCGCCTTCCCTGAGACTTGCTGACTAAGGTGAAGGGTCCTGTTGTGTTAGGACAGGCTCCAGCCAGCCCCCTGGGCACAGCCCCCTGTGCCCAGGCCACGCCCTCCTCGGGTCAGCACACAACAGGCTGAGCTGCAGGGAAGCCAGCTTCCTCCAGACTCCCATCGTATAACCTTTTCTGTAAAATATTAAATCTTTGTCCAAGTCACAGACCTGGATATTTTTCTTGATTTATTAACCTCTATCATAAATTCAGGTGCATTCCCTTAAAACCAAAGGGCTAGCCTCAGAGTACCTAAGGACTTTTCCAGTGCTTATTTTTGTTTTTGTGCCCTGTGGCCTTTACCTCCAGTGAGCTGGGGTCCAGGTATCTTTGTGTTCAGGTGTCCTAAGTCTCAAGTTTCTTGCTAACAGTTGTCTCACTTGGTAACAATGTCATCATTATCAATGGGAGTAACTTTATCCAGACAACGAAATAGAAGTTGTATATAAAATATATATTTTACATACATATAGAGAGAGAGAGAGTTTTGTTTTTGTTTTTTAAGAGACAGGGTCTCACCATGTCACCCAGGCTGGATTCAAACTCCTGGGCTCTAAGGATCCTCCTGCCTCAGCCTCCTGAGTAGCTGGCACCACAGGCATGCAGCCACTCCCAGCTCTAAAATACTGTTTTGTGCAGAAGCCAACAAAAGTTAATTGCATAGACTATTAAAACATTATTACATAAGAATCAGATTTATTTTAAAAGTTAACATTAGGTATGCATTATAAAATCAGGCAACATTCTTCTAGGACCAATTGTTTTCTCTTTTTTCTTTGAAAAATTAATTTTGTAAATGTTCGCACTTTATATGAGCACAACCCCGGCTAGATAAGCCCTGGCGCACAGGGAACCCGGCACTGGGTCAGTGAGTTGAATCTCCGTGTGCTGGCAGATTCTCTACAGCAGGAACAGCAAGTGGCAACTTGGTAGTTACAGGTTTGCCACAGAAATGTTGCTTTATCTGGGGAGAAAGTTTTATATGTGTTTATCTTTCTTTTGATCCTTTTAATTTGATACTCGTTGTAACTCCTCCCAAAAACATAATCTGGTAAATTGCCTCTGTATTTTATTGACAGCTGACATCATTTCAACCGTTGAATTTAATTACTCTGGAGATCTTCTTGCAACGGGAGACAAGGGCGGCAGAGTTGTCATTTTTCAGCGGGAACAAGAGGTCAGTAATTCACAGTCCACAAACCAAATGAAATAACTCATCCTTTCTCACATCACTTTGAAGGGATGAAGCAAAATCAGTTTCTTAGTGTCTGATTCCATTTGGGTTCAGTGGTTTCACATTAACCATGTAGAGTCTTCTTTCAGAGACGCCTTAGGGCTGAGTGAGAAGGTCTGTACTTCAGCCCCTGACTTCTCCAGGGCCTCCCTCCTCAGAGTAGGGAAGAGAATCCTCGCGCTGCCCACGGGTTCCAGTGAGGACCAGCTGGAGACTGTAGAGGGCTGGTGTTCTGAATTTGTTTGCTTTCCTTCGGTAATTACTTAAGTGGCTCCCATAGCACCCCTGCAGCAAAGTGGGAGAGGGACACGAATTCTTCCCCCACCCAGCGCAGGCAGAGGAGAGCAGCACTCCCAAGGCTCCCCGTCCCTGCGGGAAGAAGCCCACTCATTACTCTCGCTTGAGCACTGGCTTGTAGGTCGTTTCTTTTGGAGGGGTCAGTTCTTTCTCAGTTATGCATCAGAGAGTGGGAAGTAGAGCCCGTCCTTGCCAACCCAGCACCTCCTGCTTATGTCTGGCGAACCTCCTCGAAGTTCCTAATGAGTGATGGAGCAAGGACCATACGTGAGGCAAGGGAGCCGGGCAAGGGCAGCCAGGCCTGGGGCTCCATCACTCACCTGCCTTGTTTTCTCCCTGACAAATTGTAAATATGGTCCTGTGCTCTTCCTGTCTCTGCATTTCCTAGCAGATTAATGGGCAGCTACTTTTTCATCTCCAAATTCTAGGCTCTAAATTTTGTGGTAAAAGTCTGGTTCAGAGGCTAGCAGGCCCTTGTCCCCGTCCACATACAGTCCAGGGGTCCTCAAACGTTTTAAACAGGGGGCCAGTTCACTGTCCCTCAGACCGTCGGGGGGCCATTGGAGAGTGCAGCACACATTCCACACATATGCACTGTGGGCCCGGGATGATTCGGCTGCTAAACAGGACAGGCAGCAGTAGCGAGCCAGATAAATGTCCTCGGCAGGCCACAGTTTGAGGACACCTGACAAACACCTTCTGTGCACAGCAAGTGCCGGCCCTGCCCTGAGACCGGGGCCTGCAGGCTCTGCAAGAGGGCAGTCCCGGGGCCCATGGGGAAGCCTGATGGGTGCTGGTGGATCTTGTTATCAGAACACACCTGCGGCAGCTCAGTCTTGATTATATCCATGTAATTAAAGTGGGGTTTTTTGATACAGGGTCTTGCTCTGTCACCCTGGCTGGAATGCAGTGGCATGGTTACAGCTCACTACAACCTCTAGCTCCTGGGCTCAAGCGATCCTCCCACCTCGGCCTCCCGAAGTGCTAGGATTGCAGGCATGAGTCACCACACATGGCCTAAAGATTTTTTTTATTTTATTTATTTATTTTTTTTTTTTTTCTTGCAACTAGGTGTGGCTATATTTTATTTATTTTTTTTAGACAGAGTCTCACTTTGTTGCCCAGGCTAGAGTGAGTGCCGTGGCGTCAGCCTAGCTCACAGCAACCTCAATCTCCGGGGCTCAAGTGATCTTACTGCCTCAGCCTCCCAAGTAGCTGGGACTACATGCATGTGCCACCGTGCCTGGCTAATTTTTTCTATATATATTAGTTGGTCAATTAATTTCTTTCTATTTATAGTAGAGACGGGGTCTCGCTCTTGCTCAGGCTGGTTTTGAACTCCTGACCTTGAGCAATCCGCCAGCCTCGGCCTCCCGAAGTGCTAGGATTGCAGGCATGAGTCACCACACATGGCCTAAAGATTTTTTTTATTTTATTTATTTATTTATTTTTTTTTTCTTGCAACTAGGTGTGGCTATATTTTATTTATTTTTTTGAGACAGAGTCTCGCTTTGTTGTCCAGGCTAGAGTGAGTGCCGTGGCGTCAGCCTAGCTCACAGCAACCTCAGACTCCTGGGCTTGAGTGATCCTTCTGCCTCAGCCTCCCGAGTAGCTGGGACTACAGGCATGCGCCACCATGCCCGGCTAATTTTTTCTATATATATCAGTTGGCCAATTAATTTCTTTCTATTTATAGTAGAGACGGGGTCTCGCTCTTGCTCAGGCTGGTTTTGAACTCCTGACCTTGAGCAATCCGCCAGCCTCGGCCTCCCAAGAGCTAGGATTACAGGCGTGAGCCACAGCGCCCGGCCCAGCCTAAAGATTTTTGAAAATTTTATTTTCTCTGATTTGGGATGGTGAGAAATTCTTTTGTGAACAGTATTTATTATATATTATCATTGATCTTTCTAAATCTTCACAGACAATTGGATACATTTATAATTTTGCATTCTTATCTCAGAATATCACACAGTGCTACTTAAGAACCATGTATCTTACCTTTCTCAACAGAAGTAAAGATAGGTGCTATTGTTTAAGTATTGCTTTCAGCAGAAAGAACATCTAACAAGTTGCTGAGCCATAGCTGTCTTAAATTTAAGACTTCCCTTTCAGCTCTGTAAACATGTTGGGCATTGTGGTAATACTTATGGAAGATACTCCTCCCTTGCCTCTGCAGGTCTTAGGATAGAAGTAAAATTTTTGTTGCTTTTTTGGATCATTGCTTAAACCTAAAAATACTAGCTCCAAATATAAATTAGACTATGATGAAAGTCAAGCGCCTTGTTCTAAAGTTTTTGGGTATTATAGAGTTTTCAGTGTTTATTTAGGATGTATTCATTGGTTACATGAAACTACAGGTTTATATACAGGTCCTTAAAGTTTAAATTTATTAAACCTGGTCACTTTCAACTTGACAAACTCCAGGCAACTCTTTTTTCTTTATGTTTTTGTTAATATAAGAAGGGCTTTCATATTCTACTTTTAAAATATTTTACTGGTTGCTATGTATGTGTCTCACTGTGGACTTGGATTTTTCCAGTGTGGATAAGGGTATAAGCGTACATTTTCAACTGTAACTGGAGATGCTGTTGCTGATACTGCAGCACCTCCAGGAAGACAGCTGCCAAAGCTGCCTCAGGGCTTCACAGTGTGAATAGATGAAGCATGAGGGTTGCCCCAGCAGAAAGTGCAGGACATGAGATTAAGGAGTTAGGTCCGTAGAGACATGTTGGAAAGTTCTGGCTGTGCAGAAGACAGGAGGTAGGAAGCATAATTAGCAGTGTGACTTTTCTAGTTTTTAGTGACAGGAACCCTCTGTTATGTTAAGCCATAAAGGGAAGCCCAATGTGTAAAACCAAGGCAAACAGAGTCTGTGGGTGTGGCCCTGCAGCCTGCTGCCCTCCACGCTCAGCTCTGCGATCTGATCTGCACTGGAACTCCACAGACTTGCCCCCTTGCCGCAGAACCAGGTCTGTTTGAGCAGTTTGTCCAGTTAAATGGGAAGTCGGCATGTCCAGAAACAGTGAGCTTCCCGTCTGCCCTTCCCTGTTTGTTACCCTGCCCCCAGGAGCTCAGGCTTGTGGCTTCTCTGTCCCAGCGTGGCTTCCCTCAGGATCCCTCCCCCTAGTAGGGCAGGGCTCCACGAGTGTTGGAGAAGGCAGGGGGCGACTTGGGTTTTGGATGTCTGGAGTGGGGCTGGGAGCAGTTAGTGGAGGGAGACGAGCCTACAGCGAGGAGACTGTTCTGGCTCTTGGGGATAATGGCCTGGGCAGGGCAGGCAGCACTGTGACTTGGCATTTACTTAGTTGTTTATGTTCTGCTCTTCTTTCTTGCTGGAGGAATCTCTTAGGCATGGGACTAACTTGATGCTACGGATTTTTTTGTGTGTGAGTAATTTTTCTTTGTGAGTAATTCAGTTTCATTTTTCACAGTTTAAATGGCATCAGCACCACACCACACACTCAGGGAACTTGGGAGCAAACCATTTCAGGCTCCTTTACTTGCAAGGAATGTACAACACATAAAAATTTAATGCAGGCTGGGCATGGTGGCACATGCCTGCAGTCCTAGCTAATCGGGAGGCTAAGACAGGAGGATCACTTGAGCTCAGGAGTTTGAGGCTGCAGTGAGCTATGATGAGGCCACTGCACTCCAGCCTGGGCAACAGAGCAAGACCCTGTCTTAAAAACAAACAAACAAAAAAAACACATTTAATGCAATAGAGAGATATGGGTAGTTTTTTGGGGTGTCTTCTCATAATATTTGATCCTAATTCAGAAATGTAAGGAAGCAGCTATCTAGACATAAAGGTTTGTTTAGTTCAGTTTCTTTGGCATAACATAGTAAAGTGTTGAAAACGTAAGATTTTATGCTGGGCACAGTAGCTCACCCCTGTGGTCCTAGCACTTCGCTGGCCAAGGTGGGAGGATCACTTGAGACCAGAGTTTGAGGCCAGCCTGGGGAATATAGTGAGACCCCATCTCTCCAAAATATACTGTAAAACGATGAGCTGTTTGTGGTGGGGCACACCTGTAGTCCTAGCTGCTTGGGAGACTATTGCAGGAGGATCACTTGAACTCAGGAGTCAAGGCTGCAGTGAGCTATGATCGCACCGTGCACTCCAGGCTGGGTGAGACAGCAGGTCTCTTAAAAAAATTGTAAAATTTTAGGTGTTGATTATAGAGCAAGAATTAGACAAAATACTGGTATTCTTAGTTTTTAATTATGAATACCTATTACTTCATAGAAATTTTCATTTCAGACGTACAGAAGATTTTGGAGAGTAGCATAAATGCCCTTTGTGAAAGGAAAGTGGCATGGCAGACGAGGCTCGTGTCCTGCCTCCCTGTTTACTCTTCAGTTTCCTCCCAGTCTTGTTTTATTCTGCATCTGCCTTCCCAGATTGCCCGTTGTTTTGAGGATGGTACCTTGTTTCCCCGAAAATAAGACCTAGTGATGGGCGTGGCTACACAGCGTATCTGCACAGCCCGTGCATTTTGTTGCAGAGCGGTAAAGAAGACCAGCAGCCCTTCTCCTCTGCCCCATGAGAGCTCTATTGCTTGACATGAGAGATTGGGGTCAGTGGTTCTAAAGGAAATAGAGTCGTAAGAAATCCAGGATGGAATTCAGAGCTTGGAGAGTTATGATGATGTTCCAGAAGATGACGACTTCACTATATTTGAATACATGTAGATTGTTGTACCGTACTTAAAAATAAAATACAACCCCTGAAAATAAGCCCTAGGGTGTCTTCTTGAGGAAACACGGTATACATCTTCCCGAGCATGTCTTTTCTGCTTTCACTGTGACCCGGAGACGTGTTCCCTCGGCAGTGCCGTACTTTGGTGTCGCCTCCACCGTGCAGCGCTGTGGGTCTGTGCACTCGCCTGTTTCGTAGCAGTCCTGGCACAGCTTTGTAGCTGTTCCCCTCCTCTTCTGGCCAGCGTGTGTGCTGTGGGGTTTGCCGCTGCAGGGCTGGGACAGCCATGTCGCTGCGTGTGGCTCCTCGTGGGCCTGTGCCGGCTCCTGTCCAAATCAGGCCCCTTGGACGCTATGTCTCCAGGGCCAGACTGCTGGTGCCTCTGCCCCTGCAGGCCGCCCAGCCCTTTGTGCAGCTGCTCCCACCACCAGCCAGCGCGGGAACAGCCGGAGCTGTCCGCACACGTGAGCTTGGCCGTGCCCCGGTAACTGTTTGCGGACGCTAGGCCACACTTGGCCGACCCCACTCGAGTAGATCGATGCCTAGAAGTGGAATAGAAGGGTTGGGAAATGGTCTTTGATTTTTGCTTTTTTCCCCAGTAAATTAAATTGAGTTTCATCTGTTGAGATTTATTTTTTTTTTTTGAGCCAGGTTTTTTTTTTTTTTTCAACTTTCAAAAATGGGTGTGGTCATTTGATATTCAGATTAATGTAGTAAACTTTTCTCTGCGCTGTGCTTTGTTCACTAAAACAGCTGTCATGTTTCCTTGCAGAATAAAAGCCGCCCTCACTCTAGGGGAGAATATAATGTTTACAGTACCTTTCAAAGTCATGAACCAGAGTTTGACTATTTGAAAAGTTTAGAAATTGAAGAAAAAATTAATAAAATTAGGTGGTTACCACAACAGAATGCTGCTCATTTTCTACTTTCTACAAATGGTAAGAATTGCTTTTTAAGTAACTACTTGATTTAATTTTTTATTTTCTGTGTGTATGGATTCCTTTTTATTTTAACCCATTATGGAAGTTATTTCTGCTTTAAACTTTGAGGGGAGTGTAAATTATTAGGTACCATAAGTGATACATCAAAAGCGATACATTGAAAATTCAAAATGCGCAACAAAGACCACACATGCACCTTCAATATGACATTACTCTGTGTCTGTTTCCACATCTTTATTTATTGTATAGAGCAAAATGTTCATCTGTTGGCAGTACTCATGTCCAAAGACCCCGTAGCTTATAAACCCACTTAGGGCCACACAGTTTTCTAATATAATACACAAATAATAGTGATGCATGTTATGGTTTTTCTTTTAATATGGAGAATGAGGTTTTTATTTTCAGATAAAACTATAAAATTATGGAAAATAAGTGAACGGGATAAAAGAGCAGAAGGCTATAACTTGAAGGATGAAGACGGACGCCTTCGAGACCCATTTAGGGTCACAGCACTGCGGGTACATGTTGCATGTTCTTTAACTGCCCAGTACTTTTAAGAAATTGATCAGGAATGATGCTTTTAAACCTGCTGTTGAGAATACTGCTACGTGAAATAGCCTGTGGCCTGCCTCCTGATTCATGCGTGTTGTTTATAATAATAATCATTTTATGTACATGTGTTTAAAACGGGATTCTCATATTTTCACAAACGTGAAAAGTTACACATTATCCTCAGAAAATACAGTAATACTAAGGGGAAAAAATTCACATTTAATTCTACAACAGAAATCTTTCAGAAAGCATCAACCACCTTTCACTCTGGAGGCTCAGAATAGCACCTGGGCAGGTTGAGTTTCAGGCAGAACTCAGAGCACTTCCCGGGTGACAGTTGACAGATGAACTGTGACCCCCAGGGCTCAGTAGTTGTGGTCTTGTGGAGTTCCCTGAGTCAGCTTAGGAAAGGCAGGCGGTTCAGGATGCTCTGCCTTTCAGCCCATGAACATTGTTAATTGTTTTTGTTTGTTTGTTTGTGTATTTTACTTTTATATATATATATGTTTTTTGGGTTTTGGTGGGTTTTTGCACATATCACACCTGGAAAGTTACTTGTTTTTAATTGTTAAATTTTTCAATCCTGGCTGGCTGGGTGCAATGGCTCACACCTATAATCCAGCACTTTGGGAGGCTGAGGCAGGAGGATCATTTGAGGCCAGGACTGCGAGACCAGCCTGGGAAAAATAGACGCCCATCTCTACAAAAAGTAAAATTAGCTGGTTGTGGTGGCAGTTGCCTGTAGTCCCAGCTGAAGAGGCTGAGGCAGGAGGATCTCTTGAGCGAGATATAAAAAAAAATTTTTAATTCTTCACTATCTTTTTGGCACCCCTACTGCAGTGTTCATAATGAGCCTGTTTCATCAATTCTAATACCTAGATTTTTTCCACTTTTTAGCATCTGTGAAATTGTATAAAACATAAAATCTCACTGTCTCAGAACTGACCTGGTGGCACACACCACGGAGGTCGTCCTACGCTGTGTGAAGCACTCTGGGCTCGGTGAGACGCCAGAGAGGCCTGTGGACGGGGCTGCGGGGCAGCACAGCACCCTGCGCATAGGTGTCCCCGGGAGGAAGCCCCGCCGTGTCCCAGGGAGTGCTGCTAGTGTGTTTGGAAACTGGCTTCTCAGAGATGACGCTGTTTGTCAAGCGAAGAGTGGGTGGGTGAGCACAGGCCACAGTGCAGCAGTTGAGGAGCTGCAGGGGCACAGAAGCCTTTGCCAGTGCCTGCCCCGCAGGGGTGGCACGGGCGGGGGACCCCCTGGGCCCCGAGTGCGCCTGGTCTGTTTTGATGCCGTTGCTTGAGCACTGCTGTGCGGGGTGCTGTAGGGGTGAGTGTTCCCCAGGTAGAGTGGCCTCAGACCTCTTGTGTTGCTGTTACCACATTTCCAGTGAGCTCACTGAAGCCGAAAAAAGCTGTGTCATTTGGCCATATCAAGTTTATAGCACCCTATTTTGATCCAATGGGTGTATCAAATATTTGATATTTGATTGTATCAAAATGTAGTGATTTTAATGCACGGTACTACTGCTTCTGCATCTGTGACTTGGTGACAGTCAAACTAGTTTTGCAGTTCCCAGCAGGTGGAGTGCTGGTGCCAAAGTGACATGTAATAAACAGGTGAGACCTTGGGTGCTGCAGGCATGCGCTGTCTCTCCTGTGGCCAGCACCTCCCGCCCAAGTGCACGCGCACGCCATGGACACGCCTCTGTCTCCAGAACCCAGGTTGCTCCTAATCAGACCCCTCCACTACCCCATGAGCTTACGTGCTTGCTTTGGGAAAACTGTAGTTCTTTATTAGGCTCAGTCCTGGTTTTATTCAAAGCTGCTTTTATAGGCTTATCCTAAATAAAACGTGTATAATGACGGCCAGAGTGAAGGCATTTGAGTTCTTACCTCTCTGAAAGTTCAGAATGGGCTATTAATTTATCTGAACTTAACTGGGTAAGAGTTAGAAAGTTTGCTATTGAAATTTTTTTTCTTTTAAATCATTTTAGTGTCAGAAAAGGGTTATGATTAAAAGAAAGACTCTTTCTATTATAAGTCTACAGCTGCCATGTGTTGGAAGGTTGTGGCAGGTGTGTTTTTAATCCCACACATGGGAGAATGGACATTCTGGCTCTGGAGAACCCAGGGGTGTGGATAGCCCTAGCTGGGTTAAAATGAGAGAATTTGCTAGACACTCTCCCAGTTCACTGTCACCGAATTTGGCCAGGGAAGACTCAGTTGGGAGAGTTCTTCCTACCTTTCGAGGCTCTCCCTTTTGGTTTCTGATAACGGAAATAACAAAGAGAATGCTATTATTTTATGTTTTGATTTTAGAACTTATGCTTTTCTTCCAGCTAGACGTCAGTGAGACACAGGCCCTCGTCCTTCTTTTCATATAATGACGTTTCCTCACAGCTGAGCTCTTGCTCTGCGTCTGGCCACAGGTGCCCGCCAACCAGCACCCTCTGCTCTCCACCTCAGCGTAGACGTCCTGGTCCCTGGGAAGCCTCCCTGCCCACAGCACCCAGCACAGACTGGGGCCAGGGGCACCCTTTACTTTTTTTTTTTTTAACCTTTAATGAAGTATAATGTATAACGCATATCCAAAAATGCGCCTACCCTGTAAGTGACCAGCTCCGTGAGTGTTCACAGACTGGACACGCCATGAAGCCAGCCCCCGATGGAGAAGTGGGTCCCAGGGCCCTGTTCTGCTCTCTGCCAGGCCTGCACCTGTTGGGGGCTCGCAGTTTTGTGCTGAGAAGCAGACACTAGTCAGGGGGAGAGGAGGTCTGCGTATCCAGCTATAAGGAGAGGGGACAGAGAAAGGTCTCCACCGAACCTCCCAGGGAGACGTGGCTGTGGCCAGGGGGAGACATGCAAGGAGGGGCCATTTGGCCTTAGCACCTGGGGGCAGCCCCTTAGGGTGCCAGCTCCTCTTTTCTGCAGCAGGAAGCAAGGAGGGAAGACTTGGAATAGACAGTGTTCCATTTGTAGCCAATTTTCACAACTCTGTTAAGTAGTTATTTGGGGGCATTACCTGTACAAAATTATTACTTAACTGTGAATATAGATTTGCCCCTTTTTTTTTTGTCTGCTGTAAGTGTTCTGGTTTAATCTGTTGTGATCCTTGTTTTGAATCGCTATTTCCTTCCATTTTTTAGGTCCCAATATTGAAGCCCATGGACCTTATGGTAGAAGCAAGTCCACGACGAATTTTTGCAAATGCTCACACATATCATATAAATTCCATTTCCGTAAATAGTGATCATGAAACATATCTTTCTGCAGATGACCTGAGAATTAACCTATGGCATTTAGAAATCACAGACAGAAGCTTTAGTATCCTTCGGCGTTTTCCTTAGGATGGCTCTTCGAGTAGTTAGTTCTCACGTGCGTTTGTCCTCCTCTGTCTCAGAGTAAATATTTTAAAGTATCTTTTAAATACAGTTTGCTGCACAGTAGCTTGTGATACAAGTTTTCTATGATTTAAAGTGTTTGTCCCTAAGAGTTTAACTTCTTTCTCCTTTGGGAAAAGTTGCATGTATAATGAAAATTACCTGAAGTCCATTGCCTGCCTGTTTTAATCAAAGACAGTTTTAAATAGGGTACATTTTTAAAAGTCAACATTGCTTGTTTTGTTTTTTCCTAAATTTGCTAATAGATAATAGAATTGAAAATACTGGGTTAGATTAGAATGACCCCTGGTCACCAGCCTGAGACGTGGCTGTTCGTGTAAGAATTGTGCAATCTTCCGTGGCTCTGCAGGGTCTGGACAGTCTCGGTCCTCACAGGGCTGCTTTCTAGCCCTGCCTCGATTCCTGCTCTGCCTGCCATCGCCTGCCTGTGCCTCATGCTGCTTGCCTTCCTGCTTCACTGTCCAGATCCTGCCCAGCTGTGCCTTGTGGGCTCGGAACTGCTCAGGCCTCCCCAAGCTCCTGGAGGTCTCCGGGTCCTTGCTCCCGGAGCAGCTCTCTTGCACTCGCCTGTGCACTCCAGTAGCCTCAGCTCCCTGGACTCTCAGGCGTGGGTTCCCCTCCCTCGCCGGGCTAGACACGCCCCAGCCTGTAAGCCAGGCAGCAGCAGGGCTCACCTGTGCGTCCGCAGGCCCTCCAGGCCGGTGGTGAGCTGCAGTTTCCACGTTCGCTCATCTCAGCTGCGTCAGCTGGCTGGTAAAACGGCCCTGCTACTCACCCCAGCCCGCAGCTGAACTCTGCCCTTCCCTGTCTTTCAGCTGAATGTTCTCTGTGTGTGGCAGCCTGCTTTGTTGGCAGCGCTCTAACTGCTCAGCATGAGCTTCGACGTTAGTGATTGGAATAGCACACGCTTGGCGTTCGGCAGTATGTTCCTGTGTCTGTGATTACATGGAGTACGGGGTTTGGCGCGGGCAGCGCTTTTCTCATTTATATTGAGCAGCATTAAATACGTGCTGTCTTGCTAGTGAAGATTTTGGGTGAGAGTTAGTAGTAATGACAGGATAAAGCGTGCTCGTGGCACGTTCCTAGAGTCTGGTTAACGTGTCATCTCAGTCCTCTTACTGGCTGCTCCTTGGGAGCCCGGTGTGTCTGATGGGCCTTCTCGGCCTCATCTTTTAACCCCCGCGTGCATCATTTCACGTCGTGTTTCATTTGGCTGGACGTAGGCTGGCTAAAAACAGCTGAGCACTGTGCCTTAACCACGCGCTTCCAGACATCGTGGACATTAAGCCCGCGAACATGGAGGAGCTGACGGAAGTCATCACGGCGGCGGAGTTCCACCCGCACCAGTGCAACGTGCTCGTCTACAGCAGCAGCAAAGGCACCGTCCGGCTGTGCGACATGCGCTCCTCGGCGCTGTGCGACAGACACTCCAAGTGTAAGTGCCCGCACCTGCGAGAGCCCTCCTTGAGATCCTTCTGGTTTTCAGACACCGACCCGTCTTCAAAGGCTTGCAGGTTTCTTCCTGTCCCCGTGACCTGGCAAGCGCAGGGAGCCCCGCCGCTGTGGGATACGCCCCGACGTGGCTTTGTGTCCAGGCCCAGCAGTTCTGCTGCTCCCAGAGCCCGTCAGAGGGCGTCAGCGCTGGGGCCAGCCAGGATCCATGCTTGCCCCCACCTTCGTACGTTAGGACCTGGGCCAAGGCCGCTAGTACGTGTTCGCCGGGACCATTGTCAGCTGTTGGGACGAGCTCCGCTCACACTGAGCTTTCTTGCATTGGAAGCCAGTTTCCTAAACAGAAGGTCTAGCAGTTTAATCCGATGAGCCTTGAGTTCCTTCTAGGTGAGGAAGGTTTTGGTTTTGTTTATATTTTTAGCCATGAAGAATAGGCTCCACTTTATAGAACATTGTCTGTATGTGCTAGTGACGTGGGACATGTGTCCTGTAAACGTCGCTGGCCCTTCCCCCCTGCTGACTGGCGGACCCACGTCCTGCGGCACTTCTCACTAGGACGTCCCCAGCAGCCGCTCTGGAGCCCCCTGTTGTCACCTGCAGCAGCGCCTGGCTGGGTGCGCTCGCTGACCGGTGCTCAGCAGCCTCTGTGCCTGGCTCCTTTCCTGGGACTACGGTGTGTTTCTAAGAATTCTGTACTTCTGTTAGGATTCCTGCAAGGAAGAATAAGTGTTTTATAACAATTGGCCTTGTAAAAACAATTTTAGATTCCAGCAGTTGTATTTGTCATCAGAGTAATTTATTTGAGAGCTTGTTTAGAGGTTCTAGCAGGGGAGCTCAGCTACTTGTGTAGCCTTAACCAAAGAACGGGCCCCCTCTACCGGAGAAGGTCGCCCTCCTCAACAGGCGCACGTGGAACAGTAAGGGGAGAAGGGGGACACCTGCCTAGTCAGCCTGATGGGCCGAATCAACCCTGGCACTCAGTGGGGTGGCAGGTGTCACAGCCAGGTTGCCCTCACATCCAGAATAAACAGCTGGCTTCAAGCTGACTTCAGAAACAGCTGACAAACATACAGGTTCCTACATCATGGCAAAGCAGGCTGTGGACTGGTGTAGGTGAAAAAGAAGGAACAGGCTAAAGCAGCTGACAGTAAAGGAAGCGTGTGTCTCCTGGGCTGCAGTTTCCCGAGCTCTGGGACGTGACAGTGTGCTAGGGGCCAGGACACCTGCCTCTGCCACGGGTACAGGAGGAGGGAACTCTGTTAAGTTAGTTTGGAGAAAGCAAAACTATAGCAGAAAGCAGGGTCTGCTCTGGAAGCACCAGGTCTCTCTGAAAACAGGAGTTCAGTTTTGTCGTACTAGGATGTGACTGTTGAGTGTTGAGGACAGACCCTCCCGCCAGCTGTGGGTGTGCTGTGTCTGCACAATCACGCAGCGCCGTTTCTCTCTTCCTATGGCCTCACACGGGATAGGATAAACTGTCAGGTGCTTGGGCCTGGTGCCATGGGGGCCTGAAAACATTTGCACAGCGACGCGATGGCCCTTAACCGGAGCTGCACCAGGATACCCTGAGGAGCTTTCTCAGATGGCGGCCACCAGGACCTTGCCCGGGGGTTCTGGTTCAGGACCTGGGTGAGAGTCGGTGCCTGTGCTTCCGGCCTGTCCTTTGTGGTACCTGGCGCTGGGACTGTCATCCGAATCCCGGACCTACGGAAGCCAAAGATGGCGGAGCCCTTCCAGAGTCTCAGCGAAGGGGCCAACATTCTCCTTGAGCTTTTAAATGAATTATTCTCTGATTTTTAAACAGAAGCTGAAAATATTTTATTTTGTTTTTCAGTTTTTGAAGAACCTGAAGATCCCAGCAGTAGGTCCTTCTTCTCAGAAATCATCTCGTCCATATCCGACGTGAAGTTCAGTCACAGCGGCCGGTACATGATGACCAGGGACTACCTGTCGGTGAAGGTGTGGGACCTCAACATGGAGAGCAGGCCGGTCGAGACCCACCAGGTCCACGAGTACCTGCGCAGCAAGCTCTGTTCTCTGTATGAAAACGACTGCATCTTCGACAAATTTGAGTGCTGCTGGAACGGTTCGGATAGGTAAGGCCTGCATTAGCACGCGAGGCCACCTGGAGCTTGCTGGCTTTGCTCCCTGGTCCTCAGGGCCACGCCCCGTGCCCAGAAAGGACGGTCACTGGGGACGAGCCATGGTCCAGAGCTGCAGGGAAGGAGTGGTGCTGATAGGGTGTTGTTTTCCGGGCTCTGTTTGCCTGATGGCAGTATTGACATGGAGAAAATAGGGTATCTGAGTAAATTCCTCGTGTAGCTTCTGATTCCATCTGTGTTTAGACACTAAGCGAGGCACTAGGTACATGTTGGCTATTTTTAAAATGCTTAGTGAATGGAGGATATTTTTTATCATGCCCAAGGTGAGGGAGAAGGAAGGAAGAGAGACACGACTGGCGTCACTGGAAGGCTCCTTTCCGTGTGCCTTTCCTTGCGCACAGAGGCCGGGAGAGCCTGCTGCGCCACCTGTGGACAGAAAGTAGCAGTGGCTGGTCTCCAGTGTTGATGTCATCTGTGACGATAGTTCCGCTGCCCTGATAAGTTGTTCTGTACACATTCTTTAAAGATAAGATTACTAGGGCCAGGCGTGGCTCACGCCTATCATCCTAGAACTGTGGGAGGCCAAGGCAGGCGGATCGCTGAAGGTCAGGAGTTCGAGACCAGCCTGAGCAAGACCTTGTCTCTACTAAAAATAGAAAGAAATTAATTGGCCAACTAAAAATATATATAAAAAATTAGCCAGGCATGGTGGCGCATGCCTGTAGTCCCAGCTACTCAGGAGGCTGAGGCAGGAGGATTGCTTGAGCCCAGGAGTGTGAGGTTGCTGTGAGCTAGGCTGACGCCACAGCACTCTAGCCTGGGTAACAGAATGAGACTCTGTCTCAAAAAAAAAAAAAAAAGATAATATTACTTGTGTTATTGAGACTTGTATCTTTAATCTTACACAAAAAGATTACATTTCAGATAATTTCCAGGAGGAAATTATCTTGTATCATTTTTATATAGAATTTTTGTTCTGGCCAGGGACGGTGGCTCACACCTATCCCCCACTTTGGGAGGCTGAAGCAAGAGAATGGCTTTAGGCCAGGAGTTTGAGACCAGCCTGGGCAACATAACAAGACCCTATCTCTAAGAAAAGATTAGCCAGTTGTGGTGGCGCATACCTGCAGTCCCAGCTACAAGCGAGGCCGAGGCAAGGAGGATCGCTTGAGCTAAGGAGTTCAAGGCTGCCATGAGCTGTGATGACGCCACTGCACTCTAGCCTGAGTGACAGAGTGAGACCCCTTCTCAAGAAAAAAAGAATTTTTCTTTGGAATTTAGGTGAAAAGGAGTTCTGCTACTGGCAATAAGTGATTAACTAGACATCCTGAAACCCCTTTGGCATGAACGTCTAGCTCTGCAGGATATGGTCCAAGTGTCTCCTCAGATGCACACTCAGGCCCACAAATCAGCAAGGGAGTTTCCACAACGGCCAGGAACAGGGAGTTGAAGCCAGACAGTGAACTCCAAAGCTCTGAGCTGGCCTGGGGGCACCAGCCGATACAGGAACCTGCCTCCGGGGTTCTCGTAGCCCAGCCATGCAGAGTGACGGCCTCAGACCCACATGGGGTGTGGAGGTGGAACGAGAGAAGATGGAGTCCGGGAAATTCGTGTTGGAGACCTTGGATTGGGATGGGCTAGACTCCTCCGAGATGGGCAGCCACAGCACCCTCACAAGGACTTGGAGTTTGCGAACCTTGTGCTGAGGAGTTGATGCCTCCGCGTGGGCCTCGTGCTGGGCATCTGGAGGAACAGCTTCCAGATTTACAGACCGATGTGCTGCCTGTAGTGTTTCCAGAGGTTGGGTGCAGACAGCACGTTCCAGGGTCCTTCTGTTGGCACGGGTTCCCCACGGGGGCCAGGCAGGTGCAGTGCAAGTGTGGGGTTTGCTTTGTAGCGGGTGCGCGCTGGGAGAACCCGCTGCTTGACAGGGAGCGGTGAACCCAACTGCACTTTGGCCAGAGGCGGCGCTGCCTCGCTCCTCGGGGTTGCTCGCTGCACACACCCTGAGAAGCGGCCCAGGTGGGGCACTCAGGAACGGCACCCTCCGCAAACACCGCAGGAGCTCGCAGAGCGCTTGCCCCATGGTGGGTTGCTCCTCCCAGCACACCCAAGTCTCTGGATTCCTCAGAAGAATGAAAATCAGTTAAACATGAGCTCACAGGTCAAAATTGCTAAGCACATGTAGGAAAAAGTTGCCATGAGTAAGTCAGCAGAAACCGTGACAGAACTTAACCTTTGAGAATTCAGGTGTGTAAGTTACAGAATATTAAGAGTGCTTGATATACTTACAGATTAAAGGAAGAAACCAAAAACCTGAACAAGGAACCATAAGACCATTAAAAATGACCTAGGAGACCGGGCACAGTTGCCCATGTCTGTAATCCGAGCACTCTGGGAGGCTGAGGTGGGAGGATTGCTTGAGCTTAGGAGTTTGAGGCCAGCCTGAACAAGAGCAAGACCCCATCTCTACTAAAAATAGAAAGAAATAAGCCGGACATGGTGGTGGCGCCTGTAGTCCCAGCTGCTCAGGAAGCTGAGGCAGGAGGATCACTTGAGTCCAGGAGTTTGAGGTTGCTGTGAGCTGTGATGACACCACTGCACTCTGTCTAGCCTGGGCAACAGTGAGACCCTATCTCAAAAACAAACAAATAAAAATATAAAAAAAAAAAATGACCTAGGAGATTTGGAAAGGAATCAAATAGAACTTTTAGAAGTGAAAAATACAATCGATGAAAATCACTACGTGGGTTTAGCCTCAGATCCATTTTGGTTAAAGAGACCTTGAATTAGTGAACTTAAAAGCAGAAGAAATGCAGACCAGAGCGCCATAGCTATGGAAAATATCAAGTGTTAAGAAACATGGAGGAGAATGTGTGATGGCTCATGCCTATAATCTGAGTACTTGGGGAGGCTGAGGCAGGAGTATCACCTGAGGCCAGGAGTTTGAGACCAGTCTGAGCAACATGGCACAACCCCATCTCTACAGAAAACAGGAACATTAGCTGGGTGCAGTGGTGCCCACCTGCAGTCCCAGCTACTCGGAGGCTGAGGCAACCAGTCACCTGAGCCCTGGAGTCTGAGGTTGCAGTGAGCTATGAAGAGGACACTGCAGGAAGAGGTGTCCTCTTCAGAGACGGTGTCCTCTTCAGAGAGAAGAGGACGGTCTGGGTGACAGAACAAGACCCTGTCTCTAACAAAAAAAGATGAGTCTGTTTTTTCTTTCTTACTCTGTGAAATTTATTTCTACTGACATGAATGATATGTGAAGTTCAATGAGACTCTTGACTGCATTTCTCTCCTGACTTGTGGTGTTTTTCGTTCCTTATCTCTGGAAATACCTGGTGTTGGGAGGGAGGGTGCCAAAGAGCAGTCCACGCTGCATGTCCAGTGCTGGGGTCTGGGCCTGCTGCCTGCCTCATGTAACCTGTGTTGCTCTTTTTCTCGTTTTGGACAGTGCTATCATGACTGGGTCCTACAACAACTTCTTCAGAATGTTCGATAGAAACGCGCGGAGGGACGTCACGCTGGAAGCATCGAGAGAGAACAGCAAGCCCCGTGCCAGCCTGAAGCCCCGGAAAGTGTGCACGGGGGGTAAGAGGAAGAAAGACGAGATCAGTGTGGACAGTCTGGACTTCAACAAGAAGATCCTCCACACAGCCTGGCACCCGCTGGAGAACATTATTGCCGTAGCCGCCACCAATAACTTGTATATATTCCAGGACAAAATCAACTAGAGCGCTAACGCCAGGACCAAGTCTCACCTTACATAGTCAAGCCGGTCGTTTTTCTGTCAGAGAACAGGCATCATTGTCCGCTCCATTAAGAACAGTGACGCTCTTGCTCCTCCCCTTCACGGACGCCAGAGAGGAGCGGCCGCGGCTGGAGTCGCGGCCCGGCTGTGCCCCAGTGCGGCGGGGTGGGCGCCACGGCTCCGACAGGAGCCCCCTCCAAGCAGTGTTGGCGCCACCGCTCCATAAAGGCCGCTGCTCAAGATAAATGTATTTATTTAAGTCTGAGCCTTCTTTTCAGTTTATAGACCAAAAGGTTAACATCCGTGAGAAAAGTTATGTCAAATCTCTCCCCCAACCCCCTTCCCTCTCCCTCTGCCATTGCGCTCGGGCCTTGGCGCGTGCGGCGTGGCGCTGTCCGCCGGGCTCACCGTGCCCTGGCTCGGCGCGCTACGCCCCCACTCTGTCTGCCATCACACCTCTGGTGTAACCACGTAATAAAAACAACACACTGTACTAAGTGTTTTTAAATCCAAGCATAAGTATCGTCTTTTTATTTGCTTTAATTGCATATAACAAAATTGTGCAGGATTATTCTTTGAAACAATCTGGAAAACTTTTGTCCTTCTTTGGCAGGATGGTACAATATGTGCAGCACTTCAAACTCTGAAATGCATCTTTCCCTAAACTGCCAAACTTCTGTTTTGTTTCTGTCAGAATAGTCCATCTGATACACCAGATAAGGTCTGGGAAAAGCCATAACTGAGGCCGCCTCTGAGAAACAAAATTGCAAGGAAGGGTCACAGGATTGCTGCTATAAAATTAACCCCTGGTTTAAAGTAGGCCTCCAGTCCACTGCAGCTGAAAATGTGCTTTCTTTCTAAGCCTTTTAAAGTACTTTGGGGGGAAATAACTTTTTAAGTATTGCTGAAATTATATGCATGCAAAATTTCATACTGCAATTCAAACCAGCAAAATTAAACGGTTTTATTATGTGGATGCCGCCAGTGTCTTGGTGGTTTATTTTAAAAGGAGTATCTCTGATATGAGACATCAGGATTCGCCAGGACAGACGCAGCAGTGTACCGACAGGAGACGACCAGCGCTCGCTTCCCTGGGCTCTGTCGCTAGCCTGGTCCGTGTCCTCCGGGGGCTGGGGGGCTCCTGGCCGTCGTTGCAATGAGGGCGTGTTTTGATTACTAACGATACGGATATGCAAGAACAAAATGTCATTCCCCTGAAGTACTGTTGACAGAACGCCGCTCTAGTTCATTGTTAGAAACCGAGACTCCAAAAGTACCTTTATTTTAACTTTAATAATTCTCACGCTGCCTATCGGTTATGACACAAGGGACAGAGTCCGAGGTGTGGAGCAGAGTTACGTAAGCATCGGTCAACCCTGGTCCTTAAGAAACAATTCTAGTAAAATGGGATTGTATATATCTGTCCAACTATTTCGACCAAAAAATCTAATAAATTTTAAATGTTTCACTGGATTTTCACTGTGTATCTGGACCCTTTTTTCCATCTTTCCTTGAGAACATGTTTCCCACTAATAGAAAACCTCAGCAGGGCAGAGGGGACGGTGAGTGTGCCTGGGTGGCTCCTCGTGGCACTTCCGCTGGGCATGGTCTCGAGGACCTGGCGTCCCGTTCCAGGAGGCCGCCGGCTGGCAGGTCTGCCGTTTCTGTGGTTCTCCCCGGCACACGGCCCGCGTGACCTTCCCGAGTTGCTCGCCACGGCAGTTATGTGTATGTGGGCAGAAAGCAGCGTCCACTTCTGAGAAATACACACTTTTAAAAGATCTGGAAGTTTCTACCTTGTTCTCTTTTTTTATATTCTGATTCCACTTAAGCCTTTTTCTATCCCAATGAGGTAAGAATCCTACAACGTTCAGTTTTATTATATTCAAGCTTATGAAATGTCGTTTTTCTTATTCTGAAACTTTCTCCTCTTTTCCTGCTTAAAGTTACAGAAATTTTTTTCAGCTTTACGTCATGCTTTGGTGGTCCCTAGGCTGATGGCCCAGACTAGCTGAATAAGCCTCACCCGTGAGTAGAGCGAACGTGCGTTTGCCGAAGGAAGCCCGGCGTCTGTGAGCCTGCTTGTTGTGCCGTTGCAAGACAAGGCTCCAAGCCTGGCTTTCGAAGAGTCAGGCCACAGGCACCTGTGAGCTGGAGTGCGGCCAGTGGCGAGAGCTGATTGCCTTCATCACCGAGACTCCCCAGATCGCGTCACACCTGGGCGGTGAGTGTCCAGTTCCTGGCGGGCCAAGGTTTGACCCACCTGGCCCGGAGGGCTTAGTTGCCGTGTTACTTTCTCAGGAGCAACTGTCAGTCTTCCGGGGGGATGGGACGGGCATTAGAATTGGCACTTACACCTTTTCCTCTTAAGCGTGTCTGTCCATGGACCAGCAGTGTCCATGGGGGGGGGGGAGGCATCCTCCCAGCTGCTATGGGCGGAGGAACAGGAAGGGCCTGTCGTGTGCAGGGTGCAGTTCTGTGCGCAGAGCACCGCTCTGACTCGGCTTTGCCCCAGGACTGGCCCGAGGGTGTGGGGTGGGGACGACCTCCATCAGGAGCAGTATCCCTGGTGCTGGGCCAGGAAAGCCCAGGGAGTCGGGGGAGCACTCTCGGGAGCTGGTGTGACAGGCAGCTGAGGGTGGTCCTTGGCCTTGCTTGCAGGTGGGCAGAGCACCTGCGCCCAAGTGTGCAGCTGTGAGGGGACCAGGGACCCGCCCGCCAGCGCTGGTCCGCAGCTCGCCTGCGGCCTGGCCGGTCCTGACCACTGTCTCCTTGGCACCTGCCCTCGCTGCAAGGACACGGGCCGTGCTCTCCCACAGCAGCATCTGTGCAGATGGTGTGGCGGCCAAGTGTGGGCGGGGTGTAGACGGACTGGGGTGAAGGGCAACACCACCGCAGGGGGCAGTGGAGTTGCGTCCTCCTGGGTGCTTGCTGCTATCAGGCGGGCGCCCGGCCCGGCTTTCCCTAACGCCAGGCTGGCTGCGGGTTAGAGGTGGACCGCGCGGCTCACAGCTGGGCCTCCACAGCACAGCTGCACATGGCATGCGGGGGCTCCTGCAGCCAGGGAACCTGACCGCGACCTTAGGAGAGCCATGGCACCCCTGCAGTGGTGAGGAAGGGAAGGCACTGAAGACCCTGCAGGGGGGTGTCACCCTGGCCTGTGGTCTAGGCTTTAGCTGTCGGCGCCTCCAGCAGCTCAGCCGATACCTAGACCTGAGAGTGCAGCAGCAGTGACTCCGTCCAGGGCAGGTGGTGGTGTCACATGGGCTGCTGATTGAGGTCACGCAGGACAGGAACACACATCTGGATGTCCTTTGGGGGTTTGTTTGAGACAGGGTATCACTCTGTCACCTGGGCTAGAGTGCCGTGGCATCATCATAGCTCACTGCAGCTTCCAACTCCTGGGCTCAAGTGATCCTCCTGTCTCAGCCTACCAAGTAACTGGGACTACAGGTGTGAACCACACCTGGCTAGTTTTTCTATTTTTAGTAGAGATGGGGGTCTCGCTGCTGCTCAGGCTGATCTTAAACCCCTGACTTCAAACGATCCTCCCACCTCGGCCTCCCAGAGATTATAGGCTTAGGCCATCTTGACCAGCCTTTGTTGTCACCACAGAAATGAGGTTTATTGAGGAAGAGCATGATAGGTTTATAGAGCAAGAGTAAGATGCAGTCACAGATGACGGACAGGCCCTGTCATGACAAGAGTCCTCCAAAATCTTAAAAGGACTGTGACAAAATCTTGCTCCTACCTCTGCCCTCCCCCCCATAAGTTTTGCTACTGCTTTCATGGGCATACTCCAGTGTCTTATACAAACACAAACATATATTATTTTCCCTCATTTTTGCAGAAAAGGCAGCACCCTGTGTACACTCCGTCACTTTGCTTTTCATTGCTAGATGTGTCCCGGCATCCTCTGTGCGTGAGCAGCGTCCTCACTGGTCGCCGTCGGAGGCCACCTGGCACCGCAGGGGTGCGGCTCGGCTCGGGAGGGCTGTGCAGGCCTGGGCGCCCAGTCCCCACCGGCAGCCCTGCTGCTCCTGCTCCTGAGTAAAACGATCTGTGCACTTACCGCTTTACTTTGAACAATTTTAAGCAGGTCTCAGAAAGCATGTAACCCCCTGCCTCCCTAACGCCAGCACCTGGAGACCCGGCGGGCAGAGTGCCCACCAGTAGCGGGCAGCGGCTCTTCCGCTCCCTCGCGGCGTCCCCGTGAGGGTCCACGCTGCATCTCGTCTCCGTCTTCCCTTCCTTCCTGGATCCTTTTGAAAGGTGCGGGCAATTATTTTGTAAAATCTCCCTCAATCTAGGCTGGTCTGATACTTCCTGCGATTAAGCTGCGCTGATGCATTTTGCCAGAACACGGAAGAGACGTGGCCGCTGCACATCGACATGGGAGGTGGGCGGCTCCCGGGCCTCTTCCCTGGTGCCGTCTCCCCACACTGCCCAGGCCGGCCAGCCGTCACCGTGGCGTCTGCCTAGTGACGTCCCACCTTCCATGATGTAGTTGGGATTCTATGAGGAGCTGTCCCTCTCCCCCCATCGATTTGGCTACGTGTCAGTGTGGACTCACGGACACCTGCTTCATTCCGTGGCTAAAAATTGCTCTCGTGATCCTGTCACGCGAGCTGTCCCAGTCTGGGCCATAGGAGCTCCTCACCGTGCGCGGCAGGATGTTGGGACTGGCGGCGCTCACTGCCACTGGAGGGCCACTGCCTCCTCGCCCTGTGACCGCAGAGCTGGGACGTGCACACACACCGCTGCTGTGCAAACCACAAGCTGTGGCCAGACCCGACACCCCCACAGGCCTCACAGCAGCCTTCCAGCCCCCACCCCACACCTCAACTCTGTCCAGCAGGGAGAAACCAGGCTCTCATTATCCACAGCATATTTATTTGCTTACTATTAGTGTACAGTTTCATAGTTGCTGACCCAAAAAACAAATTTACTAGCAAGAGTACATTTTTACTTTAACCTTGTCATACCCAGAGCAAATGCTGTTTTCCAGTTACTCAGGTTAATGCATTTGCTGCCCCACCCCCTCAGTGTGGTTCTATTATTCCTAATGGGTTTCCTTATTATTTGCTTTCTATTGTGGATTCCCCCCAAAATGGTTTTATTGATTGATTTCGGCAGTACATGCAGCATCACTATGGTTCTAAGAGTCACTTGTACAAACAGTTATACTCTCATGTTCCTGTCCCCACCCACCCTGGGCAGGTAACCAATATCATTTCTTGCTTATTTGCTGCCCCTTTTTTCGGCACAAGTGAGCATAAGTGTGTATTTTCCTTAGCTCTTTCCTTTTTGCATAAAGGATATACTACTTTTTCCTTAAAGCAATCCTTTTTGTTCACCAATCTGCTGCATGGGCGGGGCTCTGCAATACCGGCTCATCTCTACTCCAAGCCGTCCACCCGGGTCGTCCTTCCAGCACTGGGGTCTCCAGAAACAGCCACAGAGGGCAGGCAGGTGTGCTGGCTGCTGTCTGTCCCAGGTGGGCCTCTCCACTGGGCCGCCCGGCTTCCTCCCAGCATGGAGGCTGGGTTCCAAGAGCAAACATCCCCAAGAGATGGGAAGTAGTGCCAGGTTAGGTGGGCCCAGAAACTGCGACCACATTATGTCCTTAACCTATAGGCCAAGTCATCCAAAGTAACAGACATCGAGAGGTCAAAACATTAGGGGGGACTGTTTCAAAACTGCCAAGCTCGCTCAAACACCCGCCACGAAATGTTACTTCCCTTTTGTTAGGGATACATACACTTTTTTGCACTTATCCCCTGAAATCACCCCCAGGTCACTGAACCATTGTGCTGAGTAGCTGCACAGGACCACACTTGTGTGGCAGAACCAGAGCTCACGTCTTTCTCCTATGTTTGAGCACTTCAGTTGTTTCAAAACTTAAGATAGTTTCGTTCTTGTGCATGTTTTCTAATTTCTAGGTTTATCTTGAGGGCAAATTCCTAGAAGTAGGTTTTAGGCCCAAAAGAAAGTACATATGTGGACTTTACAGTAGTGGCCAGAGCCGTGGCTGTGTGGGCCAGGTGGAGGCGTCAGTCTGCAAACTCGCCTCCATTAGTGCAAACTGACTGCAGCAGGAAACTGCATTTATTAAGTGGTGGCCAGGTGTTTTGTGGGACAAAATCATTTAGATTATGTTAAACATTTTGTAGATCAACTACTCAATGAATGAAATGAACAATGGTGTGGCCAGTTACTTGTATTCACAGTAGAAAGGCTATTTTCCAAAAGCTATTCAAGAAACGCTCTATTATGCTGCCGTCTTCCTACCTGAAAGGTAACAACTATATATACAATCTATATACAGACATGTATCGAGTTTGCTGCTTCACTTCATGAGTAAAATGTATACCGTGTTGTTAGTCTAACAAAAAATATCCCCTAGAAAACCTGACTCTTTCTCCCATCCTACTTATCCAGAGCACGCCATCAGCTCAGCAAGCCTGGCTGGTCTGACTGGCACATGCCCCAGACGCCCAGCGCCACACCACAGGGGCAGGGACTCTCGGAGCTCTGACACCCCATCGGCGTGTGTGGCGTGAGACCAGCGCTGGCTCTGAAACAAAAGGGAACTTCGCTGGGCCAGTGTGATTCGGTGTGACCTCACAGTGTATCATGAAGATAAAGTTAAGAATTCTGGTGCCATTTCTATCAGGCTTATAAACTACTGCTTCCAAGGCAATAGTTTACAGCTAAGCAGATTTTTCAAAAATTAAAATGTTAAGGGCCAGGCATGGTGGATCATGCTTATAATCCTAGCAATTTTGGAGGCCAAGGCAGGATGATCACTTGAGGCCAAGAGTTCAAGACCAGGCTGGGCAACATAGCAAGACCATCTTAATAAAAAAATGTTAGATTTTATTTTAGCGCATCTGAATTAAGTGTGGAAATGTGAAACAAAATGGCAGACACAGTTGTGCTACAGAAATATCTAGATAGCGAACGTGATACTGAGGAAAAGGCCTGGTTTAATCAAGAACCAATTATGATATTTGGTTTTAAACAATATGTAAATACAGCAATCTCTGAAGGATTTGGCAAAGATTTATTTTTTCCATTTTCCAGTCTTTTGCAGTAGACAGACTTACTTAGAATAAAGCTAACTCAAGAGCACACGAGCTGAGCCTAAACGGCAGGTTCACTGGCAGCCCAGAGAGAGGAAGAGCGAGACGCGGCGCCTCCGACAGACGGCCGCTGCGGCCCCTGCGCTGCCAGCTCGGGTCAGAGTGTGCCTGTCCCGGCTTCTAGTCACTCCCTAACGACAGTGGGCACAGCTGTCTTCACGGACAACCTGCATCCACCCAGACGCAGCATGTTCTGCGACAGGTCAGATATAAGGCCACAATAGTTATTGTAGACAAACCCTTTAGAGGAGCAACTGTGATACCAGTGTTATCCATTCTTTTGAAATAGAAAGTGTTTTAACTGAATTAAGGTTACAGGTAATTTTTAAAATTCTACATATATCATAACTAGTATATTAAAATTATTTATCTTTAGTATCTAATATCCAAATAAAATTCACTACCAAATTGTTAGCAGTTATTAATCAGTCTCACATGCTCATTAATTGATCCCATAGGTATACTTACAGGTCAGCATGGTTTTAGTGTCTATTCTTTCATTTTACTAAAGAAACGCAGCATTAACAGAGCAAATAAACACAAGCTATACAGCCACCCCAGGACCACGACAGCTCCTCGTCAGCTGCGTTGCAAGCTACACGATCCCCACTACACGAACAAGCTGGGCTCCAGTCCTTCAGAAGGTGCTGGTGGAGGTTGTCAGACGCCTTCCAATATAGATCCTTGACAGAAAGAGTGATTAGCAGTTAATGTCGCGTCTCGACTGTGGTGATTTTGCACAGTAGAAACGGGAGCTCTCCCTGTGGTGACAGCTTATGGAAGGGGACTGGCTACTCAATGCATACTATAAAAAATCTGTAATCATTTATCGAGTGTTTTATCCATCAACGTGTATTTTACATTAATCTAATTTAGAAAAACAGCCAACTCTGTTCTTACAGTGCGCTGCGCTAAATGCAGGTGAGGGAGACGGGCCGCCCGACGCAGGTCGCTGTGCAGAGCGCCTCTGCATCGTCACTGTCTTTAAAGCCTCGCCGTGCTGTGCCGCAGGGGCAGGGACGCTTCCCTCCCACCCAACCCCACCGCGCTGCTCCAGCAGCAGGCGTCCCTGGGGAGGCAGGAGGGCGGGCTCCAGGAGAGGGGACAGGAACAGAAGCCTGGCTGTGAGCAGCAGGAATTAGGCTGCGGAGCTCGGCTCCAGGTTTCCGGGCGCGAGGATCTCACCCTGACAGGGAGGCTGCTGAGGGCTTTGGGGTAGGGCGGGTGTAGCACCATGAGGCCGAGCATCTGCGAGGGGCTGCAGAGCTCCACACTGAAAAGAGGGCAGTCTTTTGAAATGCAGAGGTTCTGCTTGCTCGTTCTGGAAAGGCTCTGGAGGCCAGTCTCTAGCCAGCGCCGCGGTGCCAGGACGCACACTGAGCCCGACTCCGCGGCGCACTGGCCACAGTGAAAGCGGCGGGGCCGTGGGCGGGGGCTAGTGCCAGCCACGCACGTGAGGGGCACAAGCTGGGGCCAGGGTGCACCTGGGGCCTGGCCCAGGAAACCGAGCAGACCAAGCTCCATCTTGAACAAGGTGACACCCGTGTGGGGCCCGAGGAAAGGGTCCAGAATCGAGGTCAGGGTAGAGAGCTATGCTGTCGCCCCCAGAGCTGGGTGTAACCTGCTTGGAGACCGCAGGGTCCCACGTGCCCAAGACAGAAACCAGACGGGCCTTCCGCGCCACAGTGCCGACTCTGGGGAGGGAGGTCGGCTGCGCTACAGCGGTCTCGCCCCTTCCTTCTGCCCCAGACAGAAGCCTCACCTGTCCCAGCGCCGTGGCCCCTGCAGGCTGCGCACCAGGCTGCGAGACCCCCACCTGGACGGAGATGCGTGGGAGAGGGGAGGCCCTGGGCTCCCTCAGCTCCCAGCCCTGCCCTTGGCATCCGTTCTGGGAGGTTCCGTGAGGTCTTGGCAGCCCGCAGCCGCACTTACCTGCTCTCCCACTGTGTTTTCTGCAGAGCTACTTAGTACCAGGAGCCAGAGAGCTGGAAACCTCACCTGTCCCCACATTGCTGACAGGTACACAGAATGATCCCGCCCCACAGCAGGAGCAGCGAGTTGCCGAGACCCACATGCACAGTCGACAGGGTCAGTCCAGCGTGGTGCCCCAGAAAGAATGACCAAACCACACTCAACACGGACCGTAACATCGACACGGCTCCTGCTCTAGCCCCCGAGACACGACGTGCAAGGACAGGAGGGATGGGGGGGGCGCGCCTGCTGGGGCTATAACCCCGCCGTCGCCCGGCCGGTGTGCCCTCATGGCGTGCATGTGAAAATACACAAACTGTAACCTCCAGTACCTCACTAGAAAATCTAAACATCATCACCGAGACCCAGAACTCCCCCAAGACACACTGTGCCCGGAGCCAGAGGCGTCACCTACCCCAGTCCAATGGCCAGCAGGTGAGAGAGCAGCAGAGACGGAAGGAAAACCTTTAGGAACTCGGCCGAGAATATGCCCCCCTTCTTCATGACACTCGTGTTCCTCATGCTGAGCGTGGCCGAGCGCTTCGGGTGTTTGAAGAGGAACTCCCTGCGGCAGGAAAGACACGGCAGTGTTGGTCAACACGTCCTCGGTCAAAAGAAGACCCCACGATCCTGAAAACACTCACTTGGGGGGAATATTTTCTGGCCGACTTGACCAATCCCATATCCAATCTGAGTTTTTCTTCAAGATGCTCTCAACTTCTTTCCTTCTCTCAATGTAATCTTCCTCAGACTACAATAGAGTGATTCAAGCAGATTAAATTATCACATGCACACCAGAAAGCACCCTCCTTCCACCCTCGCTTCAGACCGGCAAGCTGAACTCGGATCCCAGGAAGGCCACTCCTCCTCTGGGGACCAAGGGTGGTCACGCCGCACACCCAGCCGAGGCCTGCTCCCTGCTCTGCAGACAGACCACAGCCCGCAAGTGCCACCTGTGTGCAGGGCCACGCAGGGCTCTGAGGTCCCAGAGGCACTCGGGGCTGCAAACACACCGTAAGGAGCTGCTGTGCCCCTGAGACAGGTGGTGACACAGCACCGGCCACGACTGCAGGAAAGGAAACAGCCTAATGTGGCTCAGCACGGTGCGGCCACGCAGACGGGCCGCTGCACGGCAAGTCTGAATGAAAGACACTCTCAGGATAGGTGGGCAGGAAATGCAGAAATTTACGTAACTACAGTTTCTGCTGTGCTTTCAGTGTTACATAACAGGACAGAACATTAATTAAAAGGCATTTTAAAATGTGGGATTCTAAGTATTTTTCTCTCCTTTTTTTTGGATTTTCACAATTGTATACCTGCACATGTAATTCCTCTTTAAAATGGGGGAGAAAAATAGTTTGAAATAGTGAAAACACTCTAGAATTAATCACCCAACCTACCGAACATCTGGGTGCACCAAAGCCGGCATGGGCCCCAGCGCCCAGGAGCACGCCCCACCCTGGGTGCACCCCCGCCAGGCCCTGCTGCGCTCTGGTGTCCTGACAGGGCCGGGCGACATCCCCGAGACAGCCCCGATGGACAGTGAGGCCACAGGGCAGAGCAACCCTGCAGGTAACACCTGTCCCAAGCAGCTCAGATACTAAAATCCACTCGTTGCCCAGCTGACAGCCAGGAGGATGGAGAAAGACACGACCCAACCACTGGCCCTCGGCCACCCCCCCAACGGCTACCCACTCCCTCAGGCTGTGGACACAGGGACCCCACGGCCCTCGCTGCATAGCCCACCCTGCTCCTCGGGCCACTGGCCAGCTGCGAGTAGAGCCTGTGTGTGCGGGATGCTCCCACCCAGAGTTGAAAAAAAAAAAAAAAAGGCAGTGGACACCCTTGGAGCCGGACCTCACTCAGTTACATTTACAGCTGTTTACTGCACCAAGAGATGGCAAGTGTTTACTGCTGCACATTCTCCCCCCAGCTTACCTGAGAGCTGTTTTTCTCTCCGATGCTGTGGCTATCTGTTTCGGAAGCTCTATTAATATCTTGCGGTGTCTGTGAGCGAGGTGGGCTTTGGCAAGGAAGTGAACAGAATGGAAAAACAGAACGTCACGTTAACGTGCTATCATTAGAAGCAAAAACCCCAAAGGCAGGGGGAGCTGTCTCAGTGGGAAGCAGGGCTCTCGCCGGCCTACGTGCTTCCCTCGGCCCAGCATGAGGCCAGGGCTGACTGGGCCCCTGGTCCTTCAGAAGCCAGTCTCCCACAGAGGAAAGAACAGCTGGTGGGTGGGTGGCTGGCTTTGTCACCTGCCGCCTCCCTGGTCTGTCACACAGTGAGAGCACCTGACCTTTGGTCACTGACTCAGCCACGTAGCCTGGGCTCCGCTCGTGAGTGCCGCTAACCAGGAACCCTGCGGACCTGACCCACTTTGCAAAGGTGGCTGATAGGACGGGGCTATCCGTTGTCTGTCTGCTCCTCACGTGGTCCTGCCAGACAGCCCCAGGCCACATCCTTGCACCAGGACGCAAGGACTGCAGCAGCGGACACCCAGAACCTGGCCCCCCAGCCCGTCCTCAGCAGCTCTGCCGATGCTCACGTGCGGGGACACGGGCACGGTGACACACGCGCACACCTACCTGTCACAGTGGGAGCTCTTGGAGCTGCTCCGTCCAGACTCGTGCTGGGCGTCCAGCAGTATCTTCTCCATGTCACCATTATACATAGACACCGAGGCGGGCGCGCCGCTGCCGTTGCCGCTGCTGCTGAAGTGCAGCTCTACCCAGGAGCCTGGGGGCAAGACCGGGGCAGGTCTGAGCTCGAGCCGCGCTGGAACCTGACCCCAACCCACCGCCAGCCGCCTTCCAGCTCGAGGCACCGAGCAGCGCACAGCCTTGCGCCCACTCCCGGCCCTTTTGTGACAGTGGCTGGTGTGCTGCCACTTCCCGGGGCGCGGGAGGGAAGCCCCAGCTGAGACGGTGCTCCTGTGTCTCCTTGTCCCCAGCAAACATCCCGAGTCTGCTGAGCCACCAGAATCGGACAGTCAGGACACTGTCCTGTACCCAACTTTTAAAAGAAAAAGGCCAATATCAATGCAGAGGGATTTAACCACTTTGGTACCAGTGCCGACTACAGTCGACAGCCACAGATGATCGTGCACAGTGACTTTAGCCCACAGCTGTGATATGACTTTTCTAATTTTTCATTCATCAAAATAAAACTGAGCATTTAAAAATGTCATGAAAACATATACATATATGTTACCTATTCTGATTCACATTACAAGCTGCCTGTAAAGTAAAACAAGCTTTCAGTGCTTTCAAGCTTTCCTCATCACATAAGCGCAAAAGGGATTTGTCATCAGTGCACAGCACAAACTATCGTACGGACTGTGAGTGCCAGCGCTGGGCACGGTTTTACAGCCGGTTAGCGACGTACCGAAGCGGTTAAACTTTTCTTAAAAGGGTCCAAACTGTCCCCACATGCCCACGCCGCTCCCTGACGCCAGGGCCCTGCGAGCTCACATCCGTGGCTGCTGCTCTCTGTGTGCACCAGGAATCAGACCAGCTGTTCCGAAAGGGACAAAGGCCGTTCCTGACTACAGTGCCTGTGGAGAGCTGGCTGCCCTCGAGGTCCCCCAGACAGGCCTCTGTGGGGAGCCGGCACTTGCCATGGCATGTCCTGTGTGGCTCACGTGGCAGTTCTCATCTCTAGTGAAGCTGAACGCTTCTTTAAGTGTACTGGCTCTTTGGACGCATCTTTTTGAGCCTGGCTATTCAAATCCCTCCTTTCTTCAGTCTTTCTCCTGTGTGCAGGAATCCTACGTCCCTGGGTACGACTTTCTTTGTTCACATACATTCGGTTAACATTCCCCTTGCCTCTTCACTCTTCATTCTCTTACTCTTCACTCTCATGTCCTCTGACATAGAGTTCTTGATCTTAATCCAGTCGAATTTAGCAATCTCTTCCTAAGCTGAGGATATTCTATTACTTTCAAACAACTCTACTGTTTTGACATTCACATTTAGATTTGAAATCCACCTGGATTTAATTTCAACGTGTGCTTGGAAGCAGACACACCACCCACTGACCACGCTTCTGCGGCCCCTCCCCTCCGAGTGCCGCCCTCAGGAAGGTAAGTGTCCCCGTGCACATGCACACCTGCTCCTGGCTGGACCACACCACTGCGCCCAGGTTTCTCTAGAACCAACCAGCTGGGAGAGCGCCCCCCAGCGATGAGGGTGGGAGAGGGCGCCACCCCAGAGGCCCGCACGCAACAGCACCCTCACAAGCGATCCACCACGCCAGTGTCCACTGGTGCTGAACCCCACCCTCCCCACAGCAGCTCCGTTTTCCTAGGCTCACCCGCTGCCCAGACCCGGCCTGGGCCAATCTACTAAGTCCAGGTGCTGCTCAGACCTTTCCAGGCGTCTGAGGCTGGTGGGGTCTGAGGGTGCAGCGTCTGTTCCTCGACACCACTCCTGCGCCAGCCGCAAGTCCAGCAGTCCGGTCTGACCACCTGGAGCGAGCGTCGGCTGCCCAAGTGACGGCTCAGTCCCACGGGCAACTACCTGTTTAGAGGTTCTCATAGCCCCCCTGAGGCTCAATTTGCTAGAACCCATGGAGCTCAGGCAAACACTGTACTTGTTTGCCAGTTTAAAAGACACAATTCAGAACAGCCAAACATCCTGGGGCCGCACTCTGAGTAGCGTATTCCAAAGCGGCTCCTTATGAGTGACAAGAGACACTCATCACTCCAAAGTCTCCCAGGTTTAGGCACTCTGGGCCAGGAACCAGGACCAAAGACCAATCACACTGTATCACTCAGGGGCAACTAAAGACCACAGGAACACAAGACGTCCCTGCCCTAATCCATTTGTGCTGCTGCAGCAGAATATCAGCACCAGGTATTTTACATAGACCAGAACTTTAATTCTTACAAGTTCTGGAAACCAAGAAGTCCAAGATCAAAGCATGGACGTCAGGGTCTGGTGCAGGCCTTCCTGCTGTGCCCCCACCTGGCAGTAGGGCCCCTTTTAAAAGGCACCTAAACCCCTTCACCAGGGAGAAGCCCTTGGGGACTAATCACCTGTTAGAGGCCCCACCTCTCCATTCTCTCACACTGGCCACAGCTGTTTATAAAATCGTTATGAAACCAGAGTCCTAAGCATCCCCGAGAAAGAAAAGCCCTATTCTAGACCAGCCTGTCTACAGCTAAAAACTTTGGGTCCAAAAGTTTTATTCCAGGGAGTGATTTACTAAGGGACAAGAGTTTTATTATTAACCTGCAACAACTGGGTAGGAAAGAACACTTCCTGGAAAATGAAAAAAATGCATGCTGTTAATACACGAATGCTAAGATGTATGCTAAAATATGCTACAATATTTATACGCAGAAATTTTGCTAGCATCATTCGTCTTTTTAAATAACAAAGGGATTAAAGGTGCTTAGTAACCTTACAAAACTTCCTCATAATCACAAGTAATTTATTTCAAGTAACTTCAGTATAATCAGGGCCCAGAAAGTTGGTGATGGTGTTGATCCCAGGAAAAGTCCCCATTCCTGATTTTTTTTTTTTTTTTTTTTTGAGACAGTCTCACTGTTGCCCTGACTAGAGTGCAGTGGTGTCATCACAGCTCACTGCAGCCTCCATCTCCAGGACTCAGGTGATCCTCCTGCTTCAGGCCTTCCAAGTAACTGGAACCACAGGTGTGCGCCACCGTGCCTGGCTAATTTTTTGTTTTTGGTATGGTAGAGATGGGGTCTTGCTCAGGCTGGTCTTGAAATCCTCTCACCTCAGCCTCCCAGAGTGCTGAGGTGACAGGCGTGAGCGACAGCCCCAGGCCCCAGCCCCCAGCCCTAATTTTTGTATGTCCCCCTCCTCCTCCCTTTTAATTTACATTGCTACCAGACAAAGCAAGTAAATCTTAACCTCCCCTCCAAACAAGGTAGGTGAGATTAGCAGAAAGCCTAAGCTATGAATACTTAAATCACATTCCGGAAAAAAAAAAATGATTTATCTGCCTTAGAAATCAAATATAATCCAACACGCCATCCACATTCCCTAGTTGGGGTGCAGATCTCCACCTGGGCTAGGAAGGGAGACGCACCCATGGTGCTTTTCCACAGCCCCACCCACTCCCAAACGCTGATTCGGAAGGCTGGAACCCAGGCAAGGACCCTGGGAAAGCTCTAATGAGGCCAGGGCTTAAAACCACTACCCACCCCCCCACCCCCGTGTTGTATGAAAGGAGAGAAGGTTAGCACCCCCCCTTGACAAGGATGAAGAGGCTCTCGGGCCTGCACAACAACAGAAAACCACTGCCCCGGGAATGGCCGGGTCCCACACACAGCCTGCAGGGCCCAGGGAGGAAAGCCAGAGAAGGGTGCAGAGACCAGCAGCACCCGAGAGCTCAGAAAGGCTTGCTCCTCCTGTGAGGAGGGCGTTTGGAAACTGCTGTGTGTACATTTAAAGGCTTCCCAGGGCAGGTGGGAGAGGAGCCAGAGACTTGATGGCAAGTGACTGTGAGCATCTAGTCACCTGGTAGATAATCCAGGTTACTGGCTTCCAACAGGACTGTTTCCCTGGACCTTCCCTGTGCCAGGCTGTCCGGGATCCTGGACCCTGGGCTGAGGCACTCCTGTCACTCAGGCTCCAGGCATCCCAATGGCCCTCTACACGGGAGTCCCTGATAACTGCTGCTGCTGGCCGTACTTTTCACTTAACCTCTGGACTTCGCTGTGACCATCTGCAAAATGCAGGTGTCAGGCTAGAACCTAAATGCCTAAAACCCCTTCAAATCCTAAAAGTGCATGAGGCTCCAACTCCCCTCCAAAAGAAATAGTGTTTTTGCTTGTCATGTGACTGTGCCCACGGGGCTGCCTACGACAACAGAGCCATCTGACCAGCGGCACATGCAGCAATGGGGGTGGGGAGGCTTAAATCATTACCTGCTGCAGTCTCAGTGGAGGACAAGCTCTCTACCTACCCAACTGCCACCCCGGAGCTGAAGACAGAGGGTCCCTCAGGGAAGCCACACGCACCTGCACCCCCAACACGGCACCCCCACCACCTGGATCTCCCGCCTGCACTTCAGCGGCAATGCGGCTGGGGAGTGGGGGTACAAGAACGGCCAACGCAAGCATCCTGCTAGCAACAACTCTGGAATGGATCAAGAGGGAAGAGAACCCACCCATCTTGCTGTGAACCCCTCGGGGCCCCAGAGGGTACAAGCGTCTGCCGGCCGGGCTACCAAGGCTCTGTGCAGAGGTAAACAAGCGGCAGTCGAACCAGAGCCAGGCAGAGCGGGCAGTGCTGCCGCGGCCACGCAGCCAAGCCGGGACTGGCAGGGCAGCTGCGGGCTCCACGTGACAGGCGGCCCCTCCTGCCTGCGGGCGACAGCGGGCAAGTGCCCTGCTGCACGTACACCGGGGACGGCCCAGGAGCCCCCGCCACGGCCTCCCCCGCGCGGCCGCGGTCCACAGCACGCGGCAGGCAGATCCGAAACCCCCCACCTCGGGGCTCAGAGCCTCGCCCGGGTGACTCAGCAGCCGGCGCCCCCGGCCCGCACAGCTGTCCCCAGGCCGGACCGAGCCCGCGGGCCGCAGGAGTAGGGGCTTGGAGCCCGGGAAGGGGGGCTCCACACAAGTTCACAGGACAATCCCTGGGCCTCGTCTTATGAGGAAAGCCGAGAAAGCCCTCCCTTAACCTACTTCCAGGGAGAAGCTAGCAGATGTTCACACTTCGACAGAAAAACCTGAAGCCCGGGATTCTGCAAAACGGGTATCCTGCGAGCGTGGCGAGTCCTGCCCCGCAGAGCCGCACTCCGAGCGGGGACCCGGACCCCCGTGCGAGGTCCGCAGGCCCCACCGGAGGCTGCAGGTGCGCCCTCCGACGCCGGATCGCGCCGCGCCCCCGGCTCTGAGAACTCGGCCCGGGAACGCGAAGGTCAGCGCCGCCCCGCGGGCCCGCCAGGCCAGCGCGCGGGCACAGGCGCCCGGGCTCCGGCTGGGGCTGGGGTTGGGGCTCGGGCCCGGGCTCCGGCCTACGACAGGCGCGCGAAGGGCGGCCGGCCCGGCGCGGCAGGACGGGCGCGCCGCCTGCCCGCGCCTGACCTGGGCGGCGGCGCGCGGCGCCGCACGGGCAAGGCCGGCCGCCGCCGCGTCCGGCACCGCCAGCGGGCCCCGATCCGCGCGGACCCGGTGCGGCCCGGCGGACCAGCACGCCGGGCAGCGAGGACCGGCCCGACCGGTCCGGCCTCACCTGCAGGACTCTCTCTGCAGACCGGGGCCGCTCTGCGACATGGCGCGGGGCGGTGCGCGCTCGGAGCGGCCGTCGGGGCCGGACGGAGCGGGCCGGCCGCCAGCTGGGACGGGGTTCGGAGCGAGCGGGACGCGTGCGCCGGGTCCGAGCGCGCGCACTGGAGCGACCGCCGGCCGGACGACGCTGGGGCTTGGCGCGTGGGCGGGCCTGCCGCGTGCGCGGGACGCGGGCGCGTGCGGCACGTGCGGCGCGTGCGCGGGGCGGGGCGAGGGGCGGGGCGAGGGGCGGGGCGCGGTGGCTCACCGTGTGATCCCGGCGCTCTGGACGCCGAGAGGGCGGATGGTGGGAGCGCGGAGTTCGAGACCAGCCTGAGCGAGAGCGAGACCACCCCGCCCCCACTCTCTCCACTACAGAAATACGGGCGGGCGCGGTGCCTCACCGTGTCATCCCAGCACTCTGGGAGGCCGAGAGGGCGGATTGCTCGAGGTCACGAGTTCAAAACCAGCCTGAGCAAGAGCGAGACCCCATCTCTACTAAAAATAGAAATAAATTATCTGCACAACTAAAAATATGTAGAGCAAATGAGCCGGGCATGGTGGCGCATGCCTGTAGTCCCAGCTACTCGGGAGGCTGAGGCAGGAGGATCGCTTGAGCCCAGGAGTCTGAGGTTGCTGTGAGCTAGGCTGACGCCACGGCACTCTAGCCTGGGTGACAAAGACAGACTGTCTCCAAAAAAAAATATTAAAAAAAAAATATTAACTAAAAATAAAAAAGACACCTGCACTCGAATGTTTATAGCGACACAATTCACAATTGCAAAGATGTGGACACAACCCAATTGCCCATCGATACACAAGTGGATTAATAAAATGTGGCACACGTGTACCATGGAGTTCCACTCAGGTGAAAGAATCAATGGTGATCTGGCGCCTCTTGTATTATCCCGGGTAGAGCTGGAGCCCATTCTGCCAAGTGAGGTATCCCAAGGACGGAAAAACAAGCACCACACGTACCTGCCATCAAACTGGAACTAACCGGCCAACACTAAGGTGCTCACGTGGTGGTATGTCAACGAAAAAAAAGCCAAACTCTGTAAAATAATTTTAAAGAGATTTATTCTGAGCCAAATTTGAGGACCATGACCCGGAGCCACTGCCAAGAGGCCTTGGGCAAGTGGGCTCGCTGTGGCTGGGTTACAGTTCAGTTTTATACATTTTCAGAGAGACAAGGGTTACAGGCAAATTCACAAATCAATACATGAGAGGCATACATTAGTTTGGCCCAAAAAGGTGGGGCATCTCCAAGTGGGGGCTTCAGGTTATAGGTGGGTTTAAAGATTCTTTGGCTGGCAATTGGCTGAGAGAGTTAGACCTTATCTAGAAGACCAGAAAGGATATGCTTATTTTAAGATAAGGGTGTGAGCACTCTGGGAGGTCCGGACAGGAGGACATTTTAAATTTACGATAGGCGCCTGCTAGGATGCTTTAAGGATGCCTTAAGATGCTTTAAATTTAGGAATAGGCATCTGCTAGGATGCTTGAGTTAAGACAGGGGCTTCTTATCTTTTAGGTGATGTTAATGCCATACCAGAATCGGGTTGGGAAGTAAACCGCCGCTTTATTTGGTTAACAAAAGCCGCTTAGTGGGAATTTAGCATTTGTCAGCCTGACCCAGCTGGCCTCCTTAGGAAGGAGTTTTTAGCAAAAGAAAAAGATCAGAGTTTAGTCCTCTGGGTGCCAGTCAGGTGGGGGGTGGGTAAACCCACAGCTAATGGATTCGGGGTGCAGTGTATGGGGGAAGGACACGCTGTGGCCCCGGCTTGAGTGAGGCAAATGCATTTCATGTAACCAAAATGTCTGTACCCCCATAATACCCTGAACTAAAAAAAAAAAAATCTTCCTCTCTCCCTTGGCCATCCTCACTGTGGTTTCTGCAATGGGAGGGTCTCCTGAGCCCAGGAGTTCAGGACCAGCCCGGGCGACAGAGTGTGACCTCATCTCAGGAGAAAACGTAACACCGTTTGCTTATCTGTTTGCCTGTTGACACACATTTGGAATGTTTCAGTTTTTGCCTCTAACGAAGCTGCCGTGAGCATTCGTGTAGGAGTCTCTGTATGTACGTGCTCTTTTTTTTATTTATTTATTCATTAAAATTTTATAATCTTCTTTTTCTTTGTTTTTCTTTTTAATATTGAGTCTGTCAATTAATGACCATGTACATGCTCTCTCAATCCTCTTAGACATACACTAGGAACAAAACGGCTGGATCACATGCTGGGCGTACATTTAGCTTTGTAAGAAACCGTCCTAATGTTTTCCAAAGTGCCTGTGCTATTTTACACCCCACCAGCAGCCTGGGGGAGACCCAGCCCCTCCACGCTCTCCGCTGTCTCCTCAACCCTTTGCATTTTAGCCACACTGCCTCCTGTGTACTCTTATCTCTTTGTGATTCTAATTCTCGTTTCTCTATTGTTGTAGTCTTTTCATATTCTTCCTTGCCATTTGTATATCTTCTTCCTTAGTGAAGTGATTATTCAAATCTTTTGTCTATTTTTTAACTGGGTGGTCTTATTATTTAGTTCTAAGAATTCTGTGTTTATTCTAGCTAGATACAAGTCCTTTGTCCAGCGATCCTCCCACCTTAGCCTCTGGAGTCGCTGGGACTACAGGCACCACCAAGCTAAGTAAAAACATGTCTTGGGGCTGGGCATGGTAGCCCAAGCCTGTAATCCTAACACTCTGGGAGGCCAAAGCGGGTGGATCACTCAAGGTCAGGAGTCTGAGATCAGCCTGAGCAAGAGTGAGACCCGCTTCTCTATAAAAAATAGAAAGAAATTAATTGGCCAACTAAAAAAAATATATAGCAAAAATTAGCCGGGAATGGTGGCGCATGCCTGTAGTCCCAGCTACTCAGGAGGCTGAGGCAGGAGGTTTGCTTGAGACCAGGAGTTGGCGGTTGCTGTGAGCGAGGCTTATGCCACAGCACTCACTCTAGCCCGGGCAACAGTGTGAGACTCTGTCTCAAAAAAAAATAAAATAAAATAATGTTTTTGTAGAGATAAGTTCTCATTGTTTGCCCAGGCTGGTCTAGAACTCCTGGCCTCAAGCAGTGCTCCCACCTTGGCCCCAGAGTGCTGAGATTCCAGCCTGAGGCACCACATGCCTGGACCTATCATAAACACCAGGCGTCCTCAAACTAAGGCCTGGCCCCAGAGCCACATGCGGCCCGCCTAGGACATTTATTGGGCCAACCGGGTGTTTTTGCCTTGCTGCCTGTCCTGCTTAGCAGCCGACTCGTCCCAGACCCACAGTGCGCATGTGTGGAGTGTGTGCCACACTCTCCAGTGGCCCTCCAAGGGTCTGAGTGACAGTGAACTGGCCCCCTGTTTAAAAAGTTTGAGGACTCCTGGTAAACACTATTGTTTTTGTTTTTCCTTTGTGTCATTCTTGCCCAGGGGCCATGCTAATCTTCTCTGTATCACTCCAATTTTATTTATTTATTTATTTATTTATTTATTTATTTATTTATTTTGAGACAGAGTCCCACTCTGTTGCCCTGGCTAGAGTGAGTGCCCTGGCGTCAGCCTAGCTCACAGCAACCTCCAACTCCTGAGCTCAAGCAATCCGCCTGCCTAGGCCTCCCAGAGTGCTAGGATTACAGGCGTGAGCCACGCCTGGCCTATCACTCCAATTTTAGCATATGTGCTGCCAAAGCAAGCATGTAAATACTGTTGTTAACGGAAAAAAGCCAAACTCTGCAAAATAATTTTAAAGAGATTTATTCAGAGCCAAATTTGAGGACTATGAATGGGAGCCATGGCCAAGAGGCCTTGGGCAAGTGGACTCTTTGTGGCTGGGTTACTGTTTGTTTTTTATACATTTCACAGACAGGGGTTCTGGGTAAAGCCATCAGTCTATACGTGGGAGGCATACATTGGTTTGGCCCAAAAAGGTGGGCCATCTCGAAGAGGGGAGGGGCTTACAGGTTATAGGTGGGTTTAAAAATTCTTCGGATTGTAATTGGCTAAAGACATGAAGCTTTGTCTAAAGACTTGGAATGTTGTTTTTTTTTTTTTTTTTGAGACAGAGTCTCGCTTTCTTGCCTAGGCTAGAGTGAGTGCCGTGGCGTCAGCCTAGCTCACAGCAACCTCAAACTCCTGGGCTCAAGCGATCCTGCTGCCTCAGCCTCCCGAGTAGCTGGGACTACAGGCACGAGCCACCATGCCCGGCTGATTTTTATATTATATATATTAGTTGGCCAATTAATTTCTTTCTATTTTTATGGTAGAGACGGGGTCTCGCTCAGGCTGGTTTTGAACTCCTGACCTTGAGCAATCCGCCCGCCTCGGCCTCCCAGAGTGCTAGGATTACAGGCGTGAGCCACCGCACCCGGCCTGGAATGTTTTAACATAAACTGTCTACCAGAGATAAGCCACCATTTTGTTGCATAAATTGAGCACCTGCAGGTTTGTCTTGCATACCCTTAGGCCTGATAATGGGCCACAAAGGAAGTCTCCCAGAAAGGAGTGGGGACATGATAAGGCATGTCTGTGTCTGACCTCCCTCCTCCTGGCAGGCAATTTTGCTTTAGGATATTCCTCTGGCCACGAGGGGGTCCATTCAGTCAGCCAGTTGGGGGGAGGTGAGCATTTTAGTTCACACTATTGTTAAATTTTACATTTCTGTTCATTTCTAGTGCATAAACATGTAATAGATTTTCGTGTGCTGTCGTATCCTGCAACCTGCTAAGCTCGCTGAAACATAGATTTATAGGCCCTGGAGGTCTCTCCAGACAGTTACCCAGAAATGTTTAAGTGCAAATGTCTCTTATTGTGCCCTGGTTTCTCCGTAACTCCCAGCAACTTCCTTCCCTGGGAGGACCCCACTGAGGGGCCCCAGGCACAACCTTCCAACAGCCTGTGTGTCTCCAGCGGAGGTGGAGTCAGCCTTCCCAGGGGACACCCAGGGGACCAGGGACAATGAAGTGGGAAACGTAAGGAGGCCAATCTGACCTCCCATCCTCTCGTGGCTGGGAACTCAGTTTAAAGGTTTTTCTGGGGTCCCCTTGCCCAAGAAGGGGTCCTTTCAGTTGGTTGGGGGCCTAGGATTTTTTATTATTTTTTTATATATATTTTTTTTGAGACAGAGTCTCACTCTGTTGCCCAGGCTAGAGTGCCATGGCGTCAGCCCAGCTCACAGCAACCTCCAACTCCTGGGCTCAAGTGATCCTCCTGCCTCAGCCTCCCGAGTAGCTGGGACTACAGGCATGCGCCACCATGCCTGGCTAATTTTTTCTATATATTTTTAGTTGTCCAGCTAATTTCTTTCTATTTTTAGTAGAGATGGGATCTAGCTCTTGCTCAGGCTGGTTTGGATCTCCTGACCTTGAGCGATCCGCCGGCCTCGGCCTCCCAGAGAGTTAGGATTACAGGTGTGAGCCACTGAGCCCAGCCTAGGATTTTACTTTTAGTTCCCAGTGGGAGCACTGCTACGTCCCCTTGTCCCCCAGGCCCGAGACTCTCCGTGCCACGGCACATGGCAGGCAGAGCTGAGTGTGAGTGGTAAGCGAGGTGGCCCTGCTGGCAGGTCGGGCTCGCATTTCTGGGGCCCCTGTGTGGTGGGAGCCAGGCCTGGGGCTGTCTAGAATGTGCAAAAGGGGCACCTGGAGGGCGAAACAGAAAGAGGTTGCAGGTATTCATGCAAAGGCAGAGGAGCCCCCAAAACCCAGAAAAAGTGGCCTAGGAAGGGCAATCCGCTTTGGTCACTGCCTGAGCCTGGGCGGCTGGTAGGCGTGGTGGGGGGTACCTCCCCAGGCCCCTGCTGCTTCCCCACTCTGACCCTGCGGAGGCCAGTCGCTGTGGCTGGGGGTAGGCGGGCTGGGGTGGCCAAGGAAGGAGGAAGAAGCCTGCCCCACCCCCACCCGTTTCCTGGGTGCAGGAGCAGCTGCAGGAGGGAGGGTCCCACGCAGACTAAAGCTGGGAGCGACGTCACAGGGGCCAGGACACAGCAGTCCCCGCTGCAGAGGCCTGAAAGGGAAACAGGGTGTGGCTTTCGCCCTGGGGTAGGGCCCCGGGAGGGGAGCGGGCACTGTGGACGTAGTTGGTTTCCGTCCGGTGGCCGGCAGGACTGTCCATGTGATGTGGGGGGTTATTCACGTGAGCGTGATTCTCCGCCGTCTTCGGACGCAGGGGTGACACGTGAGGAGGGGACCAGGCTGGCCGCAGAGGCTTGCGAGAGGTTCCTCTCCCCTTTTGCAGCAGGACACGCTGCACCCACGGAAACGCCACCCCTGGGAGTGGGAGGCTGTGCCGGCCACGCTGTTCTGTCTCCTCCTCCGGGAAAACATTCCCTTCTCTAGGAATTTACAGTGATGTCTGTGCGTGCCAGGGCTATGTTTAGCACTCGGTGTGATGAAACGCTCAATGTTGTAAACACTGTGCCGACACGCTATGTCCCATATTTGTGCCTGTCCCGTGTACCCAGCTGGCTAAAGGTCGGGATCTTGGTGGGGGAAGGGGGGTTCTTTGATAAGATCCTGGACTGTGCTCACCCAGAAGTCTTCAAAACAGGAAGTGGCCGCCACGAGACTCAAGTTACATTCCTGTCAAAGGCTAGACGGCCATCCCCACGGGCTGGGATCCTGAGAGCAGCGTGGTGTTTGTTTGTCCTTGGATGCGTGAAGCAATCGCTCAGCGGCTCCTGCACACAGATTGCGGAGTGCTCTGGGTTGAATGACTGGTCCGGGTGGCGTCAAAACACAAAATGACAACAGATCTAGTTTAGAGACTTCCATTGGCTTTCACTTGCTATTCCAGGATGGGGCGGCACCTCATTTTAAAGAGAGAATGGGTAGTCCTCCGTGGGATGAGCAGCGCAAGTGGGTTTGTAGACAGAAAAGGGCTGAGGGAAGCAGACACTGAGAATAGGAACCAGGCTGGGTCCTTTCCTAACAGGGACAATGGCCTGAAAAAGAGTAAAAAGATTTTCTGTCTGTCTAAACCTCCCCCAGTCCTTTTGGGAATTAATGCCTGCAACCCTGCCCCGGGCCAGTGGTGGGGAGGGCAGGGGGCTGTCCTTTGTACCACAGGAGATGGCTTAAGGGGACTGTCCCCGGTCTTACCTGGGTGGGATCAGAACCCTCCACTAGGGCGGGACAGCCATGGCCTGAAGCTGGGAACTTCCCTCTAAGGGACTCTTCCTGCAGGCTGGACCTCCGTGCTTGCTAATAAACTTCTCTTTCAGTCTCCTAAAACCACTGGTCCTCATCCTTCTGCTGTGGCCTCGGGGATGAGTGCCCAGCTTCCCAGATCACTTCCAAAGTTAAACGTTTAGCCAGGTGCGGTGGCTCACGCCTGTAATCCTAGCACTCTGGGAGGCCAAGGCGGGCAGATTGCTCCAGGTTGCTCCAGGTCAGGAGTTCGAAACCAGCCTGAGCAAGAGCAAGACCCTGTCGCTACAAAAAAAAAAAAAAGGGGGGAAGAAATTAATTGGCTAACTAAGAAAAAGATATAGAAAAAATTAGCCGGGCACTGTGGCGGTGGCGCACGCCTGTAATCCTAGCACTCTGGGAGGCCGAGGCGGGAGGATCACTCGAGCTCAGGAGTTCGAGACCAGCCTGAGCAAGAGCGAGACCTCCTCTCTACTTACTAAAAATAGAAATAAATTAATTGGCCAACTAAAATATATATAGAAAAAATTAGCCGGGCATGGTGGTGCATGCCTGTAGTCCCAGCTACTCGGGAGGCTGAGGCAGGAGGATCGCTTGAGCCCAGGAGTTTGAGGTTGCTGTGAGCTAGGCTGACGCCACGGCACTCTAGCCTGGGCAACACAGCAAGACTCTGACTCAAAAAAAAAAAAAAAAAAAAAAGCACAAGTCCATGCCGGTACCGCGTGCCCGGCGCTGGACAGCGATCCCCACTGGCTGGGATCCCGAGAGTGCCTGGTGCTGGTGTTTGCTTGTCCTTGGATGGGTGAAGCAATCGCTCAGCCGCCCCTGTGAGGCGCTGGCTGTAAGGTTTTTCGGCGGCGGTGAAAAGAAAAGACAGACAGACAGAGTGGGGGCCAAACCACGTGGCTTTATTATACACTCGTGGACGAGGTTCTGGGGTCCCAAGAGAGGGGTGCCCCAGAAGTCGCCGCTGTTTGAAGGGGCCGAGGCCTTTTATATCCTTTGGGCCTGGCTAGGGACTTTTGGCGGGAAGAGCCGGGGATTCTAGGAGGGGCTGGAGGTATTTGTGGAATCCAAGAGCCAAAATGTTCTTATCCAGGTGGACATCTGGGTGTGGCTCCTCTCTGCGGGGCCGGCAGTTTTGTCCTTGGCGGGTCTGGTCTCAGGAGCCTTTTCTTTGTTGATCTAGGGAAAGGAGGGGGCCCCCCCACCAGCCTCACACTGGCGTGGAGCGGGGAAGACGGGGGCTGCGTGAAGGTCCAGGCACAGTGGGCCGCAGGACCAGGGCACTTGCCTCTTACACGAGCTGCATGCCCAGGAAAGCTCAGCTTCTCTGAGTCACTGTCCCCATCTTCAACACGAGGGTGACTGCCGACAAATGACACTACCCCTTATCTCTCGCCGGAGACAAAAATCAAATCAAACTGGACAGAAGGCTTAAGTCTAAGCTTGTTTCTCTATTTTTGGTAGAGACGGGTTCTCGCCCTTGCTCAGGCTGGTCTCCAACTCCTGGGCTCAAGAGATCCTCCCACCTGGGCCTCCCAGAGCACTGGGATCACAGGCGTGAGCCGCCGTGCCCGGCCTAAGGCTTGGAATGTTTTGAGTTAAGGAAGCCTGTTAAGGAGAGACAAGCCTCGGGACTCGTGCCTCGCCCAGACTCACGTGCGTGGGCTGTGAAGTAAATCCATGGCCTGCTGCTGTGGGTCTCTTGCATGGTCTTAGCCACTAAGAGGGTCCTCAAACGTTTTAAACAGGGGGCCAGTTCACTGTCCCTCAGACCGTTGGAGAGCATGCACTGGGGGCCCGGGACGAGTCGGCTGCTAAGCAGGACAGGCAGCAGCGGCAAAAACACTGTCCTAGGCCGGGCGCGGTGGCTCACTGCTGTAATCCTAGCACTCTGGGAGGCCGACGTGGGCGCATTGCTCCAGGTCAGGAGTTCGAAACCAGCCTGAGCAAGAGCGAGACAACGTCTCTACTTAAATAGGATCGCTTGAGCCCATGAGTTTGAGGTTGCTGTGAGTTAGGCTGACGCCACAGCACTCACTGTAGCCTGGGCAACAGAGTGAGACTCTGTCTCAAAAAAAAAAAAAGAAAGAAAAAGATAAAGCCCTGTTCCCTTTGTGCCTCCCTGGAAGCCCGTGTTCTTGGCTTGGGGCCTGGGAGCTGGTTCCCGCCAGCCACAATGGCCACTGCGGCTGTGGAGCTTCAGGAGAAGTGAAGTCTCCTTTCTCCAAAGTAGAGACCTTCCTTTCTCCAGTTAGCACAGGGCAGGTGGGGCCGGTGGCCCCGTGCACCCTTCCACAAGCCGGCCCCGCACAGCACCCAGGACTTAGCAGCAAGTACCCTGCTGGGCGCTGAGGCTGGGGACAGCCCCGCCTGTCCCAGCGGTCCTGCGGTGCACCACCCACTCACCTCCTGGCCGCTGGCTGCCCTGCCTGCTCTCCATCACTGTCACCGTTTTGTTCTTGGGAGGGGCCCTGTCTTGCTGGGGGTGGGGAAGGCGCTCGCGGAGCTGCACCCGGTCTTCACCCGCCCTCTCGGGGGGCCTCTCCTGCACCCCAGCCCTGCCGCCTGCATCAGCCTCTCGGCCCGGCCTGTGACACCTCCATTGCGGTCCTTGAGATGCCTTCGCACCCAGCTGTGGTCTGTCCTGGGGAGGGAGCTGGCCTCAGGCTGCAGAGCTGCGGGCCGAACCCTGTGTCCCCGTCTGGTGGCCCTCGGGGTCCCCTGGACTCTGCTCCCTGAGCCTTTGCAGGCTGGGGTGGTCCCCTCCCCCCTGCTGTGTCCCTGGGGTGGGGGCTGGGGGCACGGCCAGCCAGGTCCTCCTGAATGGGACGAAGGAAGGAGGGAAACAGGGGAGCAGCATGGCCCGGGCCGGCCCCCCGCCTCCCGTGTGTGGAGTGGAGGTGAGGACGCCCCGCCGTGCGGGGGCTGGAGAGGGTTCCGGAAGGCAGAGCACACAGGGCTAGGCGCACGGCCCTGTTTCTCTGGCCAGGTCGGCCTGCCTGGGGTGGGCAGCAGGTGCTCTGAGCCCGGCGCCAATGCCGTGGGAGGGACAGAGGTGCAGCGCGGCCTTCAGTGGCCCTGAGCGCTGCCCCAGCACCGGCCTCCAGGCTCTGGTCTAAGCCGCCTGCTTTGGCAGCAGCCCTGCGCGGACGGGCGCCTGTGAGTGAGCCCCGCTGGGAGGTGATGGAGAGCCAGGGCCCCCCAGGCCGCGGGCGGGCGCAGTGACCCCACCTGGGCCACCGCAGGGCACAGGGAGTCCCAGGCCCCACCCGCCACACCTGGCTGGGCCGCTGCACCAGGGGAGGGGCCACAGGATCATGGGGGGGTGTGTGTAGGCTGCATTTAGTTTAGTTTAACCCTCCTCTTACCAGGCGCAGCAGCTGCGAGGGTAAGGGGGGCAGAAACCGGGTGGGGCGACGGTTCTCACTCTTGAGGCTTCTCGCCTGGGGAGGGGCTCCCTCAGCACAGCTCTAGCCTTGCTCCCTGTGTGTGTGTGTGGGGGGCAGCACAGGTGAGGGCGGCACAGGTGAGGGCGGCACAGGTGAGGGCGGCACAGGTGAGGGCGGCACAGGTGAGGGCGGCACAGGTGAGGGCAGCACAGGCGAGTACAGTGCAGGTGAGGGCAGCGCAGGTGAAGGCAGGGCAGGTGAGAGAAGCACAGGTGAGGGTGGCGCAGGTGAGGCCTGAGGGCAGGAGGCCCTCATCTCTCCTCCGCCAGGCAGGCCCCGTGTGGGTGGGCTCCCGTCCAGAGGTGAAGCCCGCCGCGACGGGGCCACCAGTGACGGCCGCTCAGTGCCCGGCTCGTCGACAGTGAGGAGTCGCCACGTCTGACCAGACTCCTGGATGTCTGGTCCCGTCGGCCCACGGAAACGACCGAGGCAGAAATCTCGACCCACGGAGGTTTATTGAGCCGAGATTTTGAGGACGCGCCGGGAAAAACGCGAACCGCAGGCGAGCCACGGCTGCTCTGCCGAGGGAGGCCGGGGCGCCGGCACTGCACAGCAGCGGAGCGGAGGGGGAGGCGGGCGGGCGGGCGGTGGTCACGGCCCCGCGTGGCCGGGAAGCCACGTTTCGCATTTCACGTGGCTTGGGGAGCAATGGAGCGTCAGCCAGGCAGCTGCCCCGGCGGTGGCAGGACGCCCGATCCCGTCTCGTCTCCGGTTCTGCCACCTGTGCCAGGACCTGCGGCTCGCCGTCACTGTGGGGCCGCGCGGGCTTCAGCGTCGGTTGCGGGACACGGGTGCGAGTCGCGCGTCCTGCTCCTGGGAGCTCAGCCGGGACTTCCTCAAGGAACGACCTGCGGGGCCGGCTCCTCACGGGGCCTGCGGCTGTGACTTTCTTTTACACTGTAACGACTCCGTTCCCACGGTCTGTTACTCAGGGGGCAGTGGTGGGACGTGGCGCAAGGAACGTGGCGCAAGGGACGTGGCACACTGAGTTCTGCGAACATCGGCGCTCTGGGGACTCCGGGCTTCGGTCGCTGGCTCAGGGCCGCCCTCTGCTGTCCGAGCTGCAGAAACCCGACGGCCACGGATGAGAAAGTGCCGTTTTCGGAGGCCGCTGGCAGGAAAGTTTGCCGCCTTTCTGCCCATAACAGACCCACACTGGAAAGCGCCCGGCGCCCTTCCACCGGAGAACGGAAAAGAAGCCGTGGTGAAGCCCTGCGGCAGACTAGCGTCTGCGAGGAGCCGGCAACTGACGCTCGTGGCAGCGTGGGAAGACGCACGCTGCTGGGTCCCCAGCGGTGACCTTCCACCAAACCAGTCTGCAGACGCCGCCCTGAGGTCCCAGGCAGGGACTGGCTGCCAGGTGCGTGAGGAGCTCTCTGCTGGGGGACCGCACCTGCCGTTTGTTCTCCAGGAGGGGCTGGACGGCACGGGGCGCGCTACGGGCAAAACTCCCCGGGCGGCAACTTTCTCCTCCCCGAGGGGGCGGCTGGAGGCGCGCCGAACCCCAGGACTGCGGAGCACCTGCCGTGTGCAGGGGTGGCTCGCGCTGAGGCCGGCGACGCGCCGTGCAATGCGGCGGGAGTCTGACGGCTGCAGGACGCGGAGAGACGGCCACCAGGTAAACACGGCAGCGGGTCACCCGCAGTCCGGACGCCGGCTGTGTGCCTGTCACTTGCGAGGCTTTCGACCTGCCTGCGTGCTCGGACATTTGCGTGACGTCTTGGGAGAGAAGAGCAGGCGGGAAGGGGAAGGTTTTAACCACTGAGCTTTGCTTTGAGGGGAAGAAGGCAGGCGCGTGTCCTTGGCACGTGTAAGACGCCACAAACGACCCCACGGTTGCCAACCGCCTCGCACCGCCGTCCTTCCCGGACTGTGAGCCGATCGCTGCCGTCTGCCTGTTGAGCCAGGAGTCAGGGTTGAAGTCGCCGTTGCAGGTGACTGTTGACTGTTTTAATAAATCGAATATTAGTTGTGTTGTTTTTGTTTTGTTTTTGTCACGTTAGCTCTTCCCTTCTCAAATTATTAGAAAAGAAAAGAAAAAGGAAGGGCGGGCGTGGTGGCTCACGCCTGTAATCCTAGCACTCTGGGAGGCCAAGATGGGAGGATCACTCGAGGTCAGGAGTTCGAAACCAGCCTGAGCAAGAGCGAGACCCCGTCTTTACTAAAAATATAAAGAAATTAATTGGCCAACTAATATATACAGAAAAAATTAGCCGGGCATGGTGGCGCATGCCTGTAGTCCCAGCTACTCAGGAGGCAGGAGGATTGCTTGAGCCCAGGAGTTGAGGTTGCTGTGAGCTAGGCTGACGCCACGGCACTCACTCTAGCCTGGGCAGCAAAGCGAGACTCTGTCTCAAAAAAAAAAAAAAAGGAAAGGAAAAAGAAGGGCGGGAAGCTCTGGGTCCGTGCACGAGGGCACCTGCAGAGGCTGGGGAAGGGGGCAGAGGTCTCGTGGCGGGTGAGCCTTGAGGTCTGGGCATGGGCAGGGCGTGACAGGGCTCAGAGCGGGGGGTGCAAGAAGTGGGGGGCTTGGGAAGGACCCAGGAGGTTGAAGACGCATCAGAAGAGGTGGAGCGTGAGGAGTGGTTTGGGGCGAGACCCAGGCTTCAGGCTGAGCCCCGGGGTGGCGGGAAGGGGGACGGCAGCCCCGGGAGGGGCAGGAGATGAGGACGAGGCCGGCAGGTGCAGGCAGTTCTGCCAAGCCGGGCGGGGAGACGGGGAAGAAATGATGCGCCCGCCCAACTTGCAGGTGGGCACCGGTGCCCAGGACGGGCGGGTAGCTTGGCTGGGACCAGGCAACGGCAGGGCTGCTCTGCGGTGCATGGCTCGTGGCCCTGGGCCAGTCCTGGGCGTTTAGCACAGAACTCAACTTCTTTTTCTTTTTTTTTTGAGACAGAGTCTCACTGTGTTGCCCAGGCTAGAGTGAGTGCTGTGGCATCAGCCTGGCTCACAGCAACCTCAAACTCCTGGGCTCAAGTGATCCTCCTGCCTCAGCCTCCCGAGTAGCTGGGACTACAGGCATGCGCCACCATGCCTGGGTAATTTTTCTATATATTTTGAGCTGTCCAATTAACTTCTATTTTTAGTAGAGGCGGGGTCTCGCTCTTGCTCAGGCTGGTCTCGAACTCCAGAGCTCAAAGGATCCACCCACCTTGGCCTCCCAGAGTGCTAGGAATACCCTAATTATTCTTTTCCACACAAATTTCCCACTCCCTCCCTGATCCCAGGAAGGTGCCCCGAGGAATCTCCCTGACCTTGCTCTCCTCAGGCTCTGGTGTCCACGTTGGGGCTGTCCTCAAGAGAAGAGTCGGGCTTGTTCCTCCTTTTTCCTGTTATCTGGAAGGGTCTGTACGAGGCTTCCATCTTTCCTTCCCGCACATTTGCTAGACTCTGCCAGTGAAGCCATCTGTGCTCCGAGTTTCAGTTGGAGGAAGATTTTTCACTACTGGTTCAGTATCTTTAAAAATTCATATATATTTTTTTTTCTGAGCTAATTTTGCGACATTACATTTCTAGGAATTTATCCGTTTCATTTCAAAATATCAAAATTATTGGGACAAAATTTGCATAGTCTTATTTTTTAAGATCCGAAGCATTTCAATACATGTGTCAGAGGTTTGAGAATTTTATGGGTAATTTCAAAGAGCCACTTTTGGCTCAGTTTGTATCCCTCCATGGTGTGTTTCCCCATGTGTGTCCATTCCCGCCTCGAATCTATCCGTTCCTCCTTTTCCCTCCCGAGGGCCCGTTTACCGTGTCTCTGCGTTCCTGAGTCAGGGGATTCGCCCCAACCCACGTGCTCCTGACCTGCCTTCCGGTGTCTCCCTGCTGTATACATTGGCGCATAAAACCCTACGCTCGGCTTCAGCTGCACGCTGCGAGGTTGGTATTTACTGTCTCGTCATGCTTTACTTAAAAGCACTTTCTAGCCTTTGTCGTGATTTATTCTTTGGACGAAACTTGTTATTTAAGAGCGTGTCTGTTCATTTTGACACATATGGCCATTCCTTGGTTACCTTTCTGGGTTAATCGCATTATGGTCAAAGAATGAGCTCTGTGTGATTTTAATTCTTTGAAATTTTGTGAGACTTGCCTAGAATATGATGAATATTTATGAGAGTTCTGCTTGGGCTTGAAAAGACTGTGTGTCACTGAAAACAGCTGTCTGTGAAGGTCTCTCAGGTCAGGCTTGGTAATGCAGATGCTCAGAACTTATAGACGCACGGGGTCTACGTAAATGTTTATTACACTTGTTGAGGCGGGGTGTCCATTTCTCCCACGATGATTATGGATTTTTATATTTTTCCTTCTACTTACGTCAAATTTTGCTTCGTATGCTTTTAGGCTATGTCACTGTGCGCACGCACATTTAAATCTCGTGTATCTTCCTGGTGCATTGAAATGTTTGTTACGCTGCCGTCGCTGTTTCTGGAACACCTTTTGCCGTCAAAGGCAGCGCTTTGGGGAGGGGCTGCTGGCGTGCGCACTGTGCTTTTCCGCCCATTCGCTTTCCCAATGTCTCTGTTCTTAAGTTTCGTGCTGTGTCTTTTTTCCCCAAATACACTTTCCATATTCCAGGTGCAGCTGACTGCTTCCTCGTGGGGTTTATCATCTACAGCAAGTCCGCTGTCAACAAATTCTCTTAGTTTTTCTTCTGAGGATGTTTTATTCCACTTCCATTCTTCTTTTTTTTTTGAGACAGAGTCTCTCTCTGTTGCTCTGAGTAGAATGTGGTGGCATCAGCCCAGCTCACTGCAGCCTCCAACTCCTGGCCTCAAACATCCGTTTGCCTTAGCCTCCCAAGTAGCTGGGACTACAGGCACACACCACAATGCCCAAGTAAGTTTAAAAAAAAATTTTTTTTTTGAGACAGAGTCTCACTCTGTTGCCCAGGCTAGAGTGAGTGCCGTGGCGTCAGCCTAGCTCACAGCAACCTCAAACTCCTGGGCTCAAGCGATCCTCCTGCCTCAGCCTCCCGAGTAGCTGGGACTACAGGCATGCGCCACCATGCCAGGCTAACTTTTTCAATATATATTAGTTGGCCAATTAATTTCTTTCTATTTATAGTAGAGACGGGGTCTCACTCTTGTTCAGGCTGGTCTCAAATTCCTCAGCTCCAGCAATCCTCCCGCCTTGGGCTCCCAGAGTGCTCCGAATACAGGCGTGAGCAACCATGCCTGGCCCCGCTTCATGCTTGAAGGGTATTTTCTCTGCATGTAGAACCCTGGCCGTTCTTTCCCGTCCTCTGCCCTCGCTCGCTGTTTCCTGCAGTGAAGCTGTGCACATAAATGCGCCGTTTCTCTCTGGCTGCTTTCGGGGTTTTCCTTTGCCTTGGCTTTCAAATTATTTATTCAGATATTTTTTCTGAGCCACACTCTCTTCTTTTTCTGGCATTTTGACCACACGTTAGACCTTTCGATGCTGTCTCCCGGCTCCCGAGCTCTGCTCATCGGTTTCCAATCTGCTGAACGTATTGAGGCGTTTCTATTGATCCTCCTTCAAGATCGTGGTCCTGGTCCTCTGTCATCGTCATCCTGCTCTTGGGCCCATCCAGCGAGGCTTGAACTTTGGTATTATCCGTTTTAGCTCTGAATTCCTCTTTGACTCCTCTTATATCTTCATTTTTATTATTTATTTATTTATTTATTTATTTATTTGAGACAGAGTCTCACTCTGTTGCCTGGGCTGGAGTGAATGCCGTGGCATCAGCCTAGCTCACAGCAACCTCAAACTCCTGGGCTCAAATGATCCTCCGGCCTCAGCCTCCCGAGTAGCTGGGACTACAGGCATGTGCCACCCACGCCGTCTATTTTATATATATAATTATTTTTTTTTTTTTTTGAGACAGAGTCTCACTTTGTTGCCCGGCTAGATTGAGTGCCATGGCATCAGCCTAGCTCACAGCAACCTCAATCTCCTGGGTCAAGCGATCCTCCTGGAGCCAAGGCAGGCAAGTACTCAAGGTCAGGGTTCAAGACCAGCCTGAGCAAGAGCGAGACCGTCTCTACTAAAAACAGAAAGAAATTAATCTGGCCAACTTAAAATATATAGAAAAAATTAGCTCAGGCCTGCGGTGGGTGCGTGCCCGTAGTCCCAGCTACTGGGGAGCTGAAGCAGGAGGATCACTTGAGCCCAGGAGTTTGAGGTTGCTGTGAGCTAGGCTGACGCCACACACTCTAGCCTGGCAACAAAGTGAGACTCGTCTAAAACAAAACGAAAAACAGGGCAGGTCGCGCACGC